CATTTTAATAAAAAATGATCAACATACTATTTCATGATCTGTCAAGTTAACATTCTTTTTGAGCAGCACAGTTAAACTCAGCGCAAAAAGTTTCCATAGTGAATGTTCACTTTCTCTGTACATGTACATGTACATGTTCATGTTCTTGCTCTTGTACTTGTACATGTACATGTACAGTACTGTACTAATATTTAAGATTAAACTGAGTGTTTTTTACGAAAAAGGCAATTTTTTTTGTATCCATGGCAACTATGCATGTGGATGATTTTCAAAAACGGAATAGAAAATTTTGGTGAAAATCTGACCGAAATGAAATGATCAACCAAAATTTTTGCCTTTTAAAGTAAAAAATCGCCTTAAAATCCTACTTGGGTGTTAAAATAAATTATAATAATTAATAATAAAAAAGAAATATTAAAATAATATTGATAATATTAAAACATTATATAGTCTAAAAATTTATTAATTTTTTAAAAATTATTTATCTCGATTTTATCGCAGCACTGACCTGATCCAAACTTAAAAGGTAAAAAAACAAAAAAGCATTATGAAAAATGAAAATATTAGTAAAAAAAATAACAAAAAAAAAATTGGACGATCCGATCACTGATCTAACCCAAGGTGAAAGAACGAAAAAAAACAATTAGGAAAAAAAGTATTACTATATAGATTATAAAGGAAAAAAAATAAATAAACGCAATGTTTTTTAATAAATTTTCAAAAAAAAGAAAGTCAAAATACTGAAAAAAATTTCAGTTTAAAAAAAAAAAATTCAGTTTAAAATTTTTTTTCTGCTGCGGCTGATCGCATCAATGAAAACTTTTTTCAACATAATATAATAAAGAATCTGCTAAGAGATTTATGTACCTTAAAAAATGGAATTCTAGAGTATTCTCATAATGTGTTTACCAAATTTTTTTTTTTTTACGAATTAAGGTCGTTTACTTCAAATAGCTGACTAATGGAGCTTCCAAGAATACTGCGACTGATTTTACAAAATTAACAAATCTGACTAATTGATTTTTTAATAATAAAAAAATAATTGGTATTATAAAAGTAATTAAAGTAAAAAATTGTTTTGGCTAACTATTCTTATGTTAGATACTTTGCCATGAATAAATTATTTGACGTAATATCATTAGGCGACACAAAGTGGTAAAAATGGTTTTCATAGTCCGGCCGGGTCAGTTTTGTTAAGTCTTAAAAAAAAAATTTTTTTATATAATTACTATGCCGGGTGAGAATTTTTTAAAAATTGAAAAAAAAATTCGCATATAAAATTTTTGAAAAAAAAATTAAAAGCCGGGTTGCCGGGTTATTGATGAAATTTTTATATTATGGAAAACCATAAAATCAAGTTTGTATGGACTTATTGGAACAAAAAAATTTTTCTGTTTTGGGCCAAAATATTTTGACCGAAATTTATTATTTTTTTATTTCTTAAACAGAAATATTTTTTTCGGTTTAAGAAAAAAAAGAATTTAAGTGTTTTGAACCGAAATATTATTTTTAAAAAAAAATAATTTCCTTTTTGATTTTTCAAAATTTTTTTTCTTTATATTTATTATTTTTTTTCTCGAAAAAAATTTAGTTTTATTAAAAAGGCTTTAGGTTCAGTCATCCACTGCACCAAGGTAGAATTTTTTATTATTTTTTGCTGATAAAATTTTTTTACTAACAAATAGGAATCTGGATGGATACTTAGATATGGATCGGGTACCAAACTGCGCCAATCTGGTAAATTGACGTAATTTAATATTGTATCATTACTTAATTAATAATTAATTAATCACTAAAATGCTTATTTTTCACTGACTGAATAGGAATTCGGATGGGTACTTAGCTTGAAATGGGTGGGTTGAGCGTTGTGATAATTCAGATAGACCAATATCAAATACACTTATTGCTGACTAGTAGCAACTTTTTCGATTATTAATCAGTTTTCTAGGCTATTTATCAATTTATTTTAAACAAACTTACTTTTTCTGATTTTTAATCAATTTTTAAGTGGATTTTACAGATTTTCTAGGCGATTTTGTTATTACTCTAAATTAAACTGTGGTGCTTTAATTTACCATATAATTTTATGAATAAATTTAATGGAAACGATAAAGTGATTCAAGTTCTAGGTATTTTTACGGGAAACAAATAATGAAAATAATTGAGTCAATATTTTCCTATAAAATAAAAAATGTTCGAAACATGTAAATTTATATGGAGAATATGCAATTTTTTGTATTGTCGTACTATATAATTTATTATCTGTTATGGCTAATTGTCCCGCTTATCGACCAAATTAGATTTTGTATTTAGTTTGCGTTTTTCATATATATGTCACGTGATGTAATAAATTGATTATGCTCCACCTGAACGGTTTGCGTTCCCTAAACAGTTAAAAAACTTTTATTATCTTTTGCATTTGGATATTTATAATACTATTTGGAAAACACGCGAAACAATCAAATTCTATTAATCAAAAATCTTTCAAAACTTATCGTCAGAACAACGATACAGCATCCCGTCGAAATTCTCGAACTCACCCTCGAAACAATAAAGATAGTTCATGGATTTATTCCAACCCATATAATGATTTCCGGAAACTGCCGGACGACAATAATTTTATAGATCCGCTTTACGTCTTATAACTTTTTGCATAATGTACCTTGGTACCACAATATCTGATATAGATTTTACTTCTGATTGTAATTTTAATTTTAATGTCTCTGTATTTTATTCTTCATTCATTTTTTTTCTAATTCCCCGTCGTGAGTAGCCTTAGCGGCGTAGTTTCATTGACGATAGCTATTCCTCTTTTTTTTTCTTTTCCTTTTTCTCACTAAGGGTGATTCCTCTATGTGTGGAACGCGTCTGTTAACTTACTTTAGTTAGTTTTTCCTTACTATGTTTTTTTGCTTTTAGTGGTTATTCTACACAAAGTTAGTCCAGCACTCATCCTTGAAGAATAAAATAATACAAAATTTGCGTTCCCTAGTTTATGCTAAGTTCAGTGTGATAATATAAGTATATCAGTTGTAAAGCAACTATTATCGCATGGCCCTATAGGATCATGCTGATTTATATTTATCAAATTGATTAAATTATTAGTAATTTCTAAGTTTGTAATATTTGTATAAATAATTCTAAGGATCGTCAAGTATTTCTTTTAAATCATTCGTTCCATACGTTTTTAATACTTCATGAATATTTCTAACCTTCATTAGCTGTAGAAATCCCTTATTCTTTTTTTGTACTATCAAATATATTAACATCTGATTCTACTAAGCGAAAAATTATATATTTTTTTTTATTAACAAAATGATGATACATAAATACCTCATTAATACAATGAAAATACTTAATCTCTATAACTTTCAAATTTTAATGAACCTAATCTAATTAGTATTATAAAAACAGATCATTTCATTTCCATGTTACGTATCAAATTATTGTACAGAGAGTAATCTAAATATCGTCAAATTTTTTTAATTATATAGATTGTAAATCAATCATAGGTTTACTAAACACATTCTTCTTTGCAGTCCATTCGGACGTGAGTGTACTTTTAAAGTATTTGAAGTATGAGCACGTAAAATCACCAAATGTGTTTGAAGTTCTATCCAACGTTAATATTAAAGAGAATCTTATGAAGACAGAAATGAAATATAAAAGTCATTAGCCGAAAAGAGGATAAAATTTCAATGTAGACCATATCATATAAATGGAAACAATCGTCATCAAGTGGTTAGTATTCTATCTGTTACGTGTTCATTCTTTCCCATTCTAACTATATATTTGCTCGCTAATTTAACAATGTCAATAATTATGGATGCTGTTTTTAAGAGCGGAATATATTATATTTCGATATCATTAATTTGAATCCTATAATACTATTTTTCAACAATTACCTGCTTTAAAGTTCAAAAATAATTTACATAGATCATATTATCATTAAGATTTATGGCACTCGTTATATTTTTACAAGTTTGATAAGAATTTAATTTTATTGGACTTAAATTTATGAAATGTTTATTTCATTTAAAGCAAAAATTGTTTTTCTTAAAATAAAAATAAATGATATTTATTATAAACTGAATAAGTAAAAAATCAATGTAATTTTACTATAACGAATATTTAAAAGTATAATTTATGATAGTATATATGGAAATGATGTATGGATATTGATAAATTTTAGAAACACGGCATTCAATATACTGTATATCTTGCGTGCGTATTCCAACTACTAGATGTCGTTTAATAGCTAACTAGTTTTAATACGTTTTCCTACTTTTAAATATTTTAAATTTGATTAAAATAATATTAAAAGAAAATATAAATAAATATGATTAAAGCAAATGAATATTTACCACCACTATTATCTTGGGTTTCAAGATTTAATTCTTCATTGTTTCGCTTTTTTAATGAGGTTGAAGAATTTTGAATTGTTATATTTTGTGATGATAAACTAAATTACAATTAAAATCAATTAATTAGTACACAATATAATACATTCAAAATATAATTGCAAATACCTTTCAACGTCTATGTCAAGCTCTTTTTCTTTCGAAATATAATTATAATTATAATCTAAGTAAATAATATTCATTTAAAGATTACTGTATATAATAATTTTTAATTGCAATTAACTCTTTTTAGTAATACCTTCTTTATCGCCAAATGAAATTGTTGAGGATGAATTAATGGATGAACATTTAGAAATTATATCACTTAATGGTCTACTTGTATAAATGGCTTCCGGGTGACATTTTTCAGCAAATTCAGGACCAATCATCTTTGATTCTATCATTCTGTTTCTTTTTACTTCAGCTTGTTCAAATTCTGCTTCGTATTTATAAGGCCACTTACGTAAATTTGAATAAATTTCTTTTATAGAAGGTCTTTTTTTTGGATTAGGGTCCCAACAACTTTTCATTAAATTGGCATAACATTCTGGTGTATCTTCTGTAATTTTTGGTCGTTCTCCATCTAGAATTTTATAAATGAGATTATGGTCATGTTCAACATTAGCAAAAGGTTTACAACCTGTTGTAAGTTCCCACATAACCATGCCAAAACTATAAATATCAGTTTCTTTAGAAAATGCAGACCCTTTAAATATTTCTGGTGCAATATAAGGCATAACACCATATATTTCATTATTTGAAGATTCGTCATTTATAGATTGTGATAATCCTAGATCCCCAATTTTCCATTGAACTATATCAAGTAATATATTTCCGCTATGGAAATCTCGATGTACAAATGTATTTTTGTGAATATATTCAAGTCTAAATAAAAAAGAAGTTAAAACTTAAATTTCAATAATATAAAAATTATATTTAAATATAATTACCCTTCTGTAATTTGCAATAAAATAATTAGTTTTTGATTATTCCATGTAATATTTGTAAAATTCTTTTGTAAATACTTATGTAAATCTCCTTCTGACGCATACTTCATAATTAATGTATAATCTTCTAATTCAGGATCTTTTGTAAAGCCATAATTTTTAATTATATAATTATCAAATTTATTAAAACACTGTTGATTTGATCTTAACTATAAAATTTTAAGAATTAATAGTCAAAGATTAAAGACTAAATTAATTAATAAAAAATCATTCACAAAAATATTAAAAATATTCACCTCATTTAAGAAATATTTATTATTAATTTTAGAATTTTCGAATTTTTTTAAAATGACAGTTTTATTATTACTTAACCAAGTTGCTTTATATATAATACCATATCCCCCTTTTGTCATTTCTTTTACATCTTTAAATTGAGAATATGATATCCGCCTAACTGGGATCATTTTTTTAAAAATAGAAGTTAATAGAATTGATGGTTCAAAATATTTATCAATGGTTTTTATAATATTTGTAATCTCTAAATTTAAGTTGTCATATGAATTATCATTAAGAAGGAAATCATCAAATACATTTCTGTCTATAATAAGTGATATTCTTTTACATTTTTTACATTGGGTTTGATCTGTAAGTCCAAAAATAATGTTTGTTGTTAAACAATATCTGCATCCGGTATAAAATATAAGGCAATTTGCACAATACTTTTGACAATCCGTTGTAAATGTTAAATCTGAGTAACATACGTCACAATGAGAATTATCATACCACCATGGTAAGTAAAGAAGTGAAATTTGCTTTTTAGACAAGGTTGATTCTGTCCATTCAAATGAAATTAGATAACAATTTGAGCATAATATAGGTCGCCATACATTTCTTTTACATATTATAGTAGGTTGCCATATATGTGTACTTTGAAATAGTGACTTTCCACATAATTGACAATGTTTTTTACTTTTAATCACCTTAGTGTATATGTTGGAACTATTGCTATCATGATAATAATATTCATATAAATATCCTTCTATTTGGCTAAAACATAAAATTCTTACACAATTTCTACAACATTTTTGAATACATTGTGATACCTTTGTCTTACTTATTTCATGTTCATTACTACATTTCAAGTACATTGTACAATATATGTCCAAGTATATATTATTATCAGTTATATCATCAATATAAAGCGATAAACATTTTTTGCAATATTTTTGATTATGACAAAGAAGTGTCTCGATATATTTTTCTCCACAATAAATGCAATTTAAATCAAATCTATTAAAAGAAATAAATTTAATTGGTATAGGACTAGATTTTAATCTTGGTGTTGGGTCAAAAAATTTTTCATTATTTTTATTTACAAGCTCCATTATATTATATTAAGTATCGATAACAATAATGAATTTGGAAATTTTGAACGTATTTTATTTATATTTATTATACTTTTATTTATTATATCTGAATGAAACAGTTTAAAAAAGATAGAACTTTCTGTTAGTGATACAGAAAGTATTACGGAATTTAGAAAGTTCGTTTTAAATTTAGAAGTACTTTATCGAAGGGTAAATGGAGTTTGAAACCGGTTAAGGATAACCAGTTAATTAACCGGTTAAGATGGTCAAGTGGTTAAGGATTTATTAACTGGTTAAAAATGGTTAATTTAACCGGTTAAATTAACCGGTTAATTTTTTTTTTTGATAACACATTATAGTGTTACAAAGAAAACACAAATATAAATTTGGCAATTGATCGGCAAAGATTAGTTTGTCATTATTAGGACAGGGACAGAACTCTTTAAACCACAATTTTGTGATTTAGAGCTTCCTGTGGTACTTTTATGTTATATTAAGTTTAACCATCAAATCGTAGGTTTTTTGGTAGAATTTAATTTTGTTGATCATTTACAAAAAAATATTTTTTTTTTTTCAAACGCATAAACACAAAAAAAAAATTTTTTTTTTTTTTTTTTCATAAAAAACTTTTTTAATTTATTAAAGTTTGATTTTTTAAATTCATAAATTTAAATATGAATTTTACAAAATTAATAAAATTTTACCAACTTTAAATTAAATAATGATTTCAATAGCATGTTACAAAACTCAAAGCAAATACTATGAATACTCGGTACAAAATTAATAATGAAACAGTAAAATAATGATGTTTATTGAATTTAAATATATATATATTTTTTTATTAAAGTGGTAAAAAAGAAAATTAGCAAATCTGTAGTAGTGCCGCAACATTTTTTGTATAATATTATATTTAAAAAATTCAGTGAAAACGTTTTTTCATAATAAAATATCAAAAAACTGGTGCGAAACTTTTTTTGATATATTATTATGAAAAAACGTTACTGACCAGGGGTAGGTCATGAATTTGATAATCTGACCCGTAAGTTATTAAGAAAATATTTTGATGATATAAAAATGCCGAAACTTTTTATATTCAAATTATTAAGAAAAAAACAAAAAAAAAAACGTTTTTTATTTTTTTTTAATGAAAAAAAATGTTTATTTTTCCATTTCTTTTAATGAAAAAACGTCCGGTTCGACGTTTTTTAATTAAAAAATGTTTTTTATTTCTTCTAGTGAAAAAACATTGGGTTCGATAAAAAAAATATTTTTTTTTTATTTCTTTTAATGAAAAAATGTTATGTTCGACGTTTTTTATTTTTTTAAGAATAAAAAAAGTCAAACCTGACGTTTCTTATTCTTTTTTAATGGAAAAATGTTGAACCAACATTTTTTTTATTAAAAAAACTTTTTTTAGTTTTATTTAATGAAAAAATGTCAGATTTGACATTTTTTATTTTTTTTTCAATGAAAAAACGTCATATTTGGCATTTTTTATTTTACACTAACTCAACTCCTCTCTAAACATGCATGAACTCTTGTTGGTTATATATAACAACATTAAAGTAAATTTTTTTAATTAAATTCTTAATTATTAATAAATAAGCCATATACACTATGCGTTGTGGTCACGGCTGACTTGTTTCATCAAATGTATAATCTAGTACAAAGATAGATTGTTCCACGTTGCACGATCAATAAACTATTTCTCGAGGAATTCCAGTAGTACCGAATGTCGGCAGACTGGAAGGAGATGTCATCATTAATTAAAATAGCTCGAGTGATTGCCCGTAAAGGAAAAATGTCGTTGTATTAGGCCAAGCAAAAAAAAAATTTAGATTCTCGTGACCCGGCCGGGTCATTTTTAAAATTTTATGTCACGAGAATCTAAAAATTTTTTTTGCCCGGCCTTACCGCAAAACAAAAATCATAGAGAAAAATGCGTGATTGGAATAGTATTAATAATATTAATTCTGTGTAACCGTAATTATTCTCTATTCACAGTATACGTAATGATATACATTGTACTTCAGGCGTTTAGCTATTCGTAAAAGACAGGCCGTGTTGTGTAATTTTAATATTGATTGTCCTAAGAGTCCTGCTTGATTGTTGTGCTGTAAAATGTGGTGTTTGGATAGAAGATTGTTAAGTCTTTTACTCATAATGGATACCATAATCTTTCTTAGGGTTTCCAGTAGAGTAATAGGGCGTGTATTGTTACAAATTCGATTTTCTGATTTTATATTATTATTTGAGAATGTCAAAAAATCACACCCAACGTTTTTGATTGGTTACGCGTTTACGTCATCATCAATAAATGTTTATTTATTTATTATTTCTAGTACTTTTCCAACTTTAAACCCTTCGCTCAGCTGGTATGTTTTTCTTTTTTTTTTCTTTTTTGTTTTTTATATTTTATTTCTTGCTAACTTTATTTTATTCTCTTTAAGTTCTTACTCCTTTGCTTTTTGCAATTAAGGAGTGTTCAGTATAACATAGTCACTGTTTTTTGAAGTTTTTATTTTTTTTTTATTTTGTCTCATACACTTCGTTTCTTATATTTTGTTCCTTACATTTCCTTCCTAACTTTATTTTATTTTTTTTAGGTCCTTAGTTCTTCTCGGTATGTTCTTTTTTTTATTTTTTTTTTTATTTTGTCTATTATATTTCGTTTCTTATTTTATGGTTTTTACTTGGTCGGTTTGTTTCCTTCATTTTTTTATTCCCTACTGTTCTTTTATCTCTTGTTTCCATTGTTACTTTCATTTCCTTATTTTATCATTTCTTTTTCACTCCACTTCATTTTTTTCATTACTTTTCACTCATCCTTCATTTCTTTCACTCCTTTTCACTTCCCGCCCGTGTTTTACGATAATTCTTGAAGTCTTGTTATTAAATTAAAATGCAAATTATGGTCATTAACATTAAGGTAAAATTGTTAACAATAAAAAGTTATTTATATTATTATCGATTTACATATTTTTTACTATAAAATTACACTTCAAAAAATGTTGAAGAAAATTTATTATGCTAGAATTAAGATTTAAAATTTGAGTAATGTATTAACTCCGGTCAAATTTTAATGCCGGTCAGAATAAGTTTTAACCGGTTAATAACCGGTTAAGGTTTTTTGAAGCTCTACTGCGGCTTTATTATATTACAGATCAACCAGCGGAAGTACTAATTACTAAATATTTCTAGAAGATAATGATGGAAACAAAAGATGATACACAAATTAAGAAAGGAAATGAATGAGAAGCGATTGATACGATAATTTGAACAATTATGGATACAAGAATTTTCTATTTTATCTAAGGCCGGGCAAAAAAAATTTTTAGATTCTCGTGACATAAAATTTTAAAAATGACCCGGCCGGCCGGCATTTTTTTTTATATTTGTAAAATTTTTTCATATGTAAAATTTTTTTACGCCACATTGTCCAACTTAAAATCACGTGATAAAAATTTTTTACTATAAAAAAAAAAATTTCCATTTTTCGAAAAACTGACCCGGCCGGGTCACGAGAATCTAAATTTTTTTTTTGCTTGGCCTAAATATGAAATAAGGTTAAAAAATAATTTTGTACGATTAATTGGCATTCAAAAAGATGATATTATAAATTGAATCAATTAAACACTGTTAAATTTGTAAGTTATTAATCATATACTATCAGAATTTTAAAAATTTTTCCAAAGCAACAAATATTATTCAATGCATTGCAACAGGATTAATGAGTTTAATTTAATATGATGAATTTCTGATATAGAAAATTAATTATTGCATATGAATTATAATGTGAGTGAAAAATAAAAATTGAAAATTTTACTATATCTGTATATTATATCTAGACTAACCTGTATAAATATTTTTGTATTGTATTACCCGTGTTACCTGTTACATAGCGCGTTATTAATGTGGCTTAGCTAAGTCCCGCTTTTTTTACATGTAACGACCGACATTTGAGTTATGTGTATAGGCTAGTTAACGAATAATATAAATTATAATACTTAATAATAAAAAAGAACAATATTAAAATAAGTATTGATTATACTAATTATTTAAAAAAATTATATAATCTAAAAAATTTTTAATTTTTTTTTTGGCTGCATAGTATTTTCTAAAAAATCATATCTATTCAAATCATATAAAATATATTTATTCTAATGAAAACAAAATACTTATTTCGATTTTATCGCAACACTAACCTGATCCAAACTTAAAAGGCTAAAGAACAAAAAAGCGTTAGGAAAGAAGAAAATATTAGTTAAAAAAAATACCAAGAAAAAGAATTCGGAAAAAATTCAAAAAAAAAATCAAATACTGAAAAAAGTTTCAGTTTTTTTTTAAAAAAATTCAGTTTAAATTTTTTTTTTTCTGCTTTGCTCGCTAATTTAACAATGTCAAAGATTATGGATGCTGATTTTAAGAGCAAAAAACATTCTACTTTTGTACCATTTATTGAAATCCTATAATATACTATTTTACAACAATTGCATGCTTTAAAATTGAAATTTTTAGAAAATAATAAAAAAAAATGTCAAAAAAAGTAATTTATATATTAAAGTTTATGGTTCTCGATATATTTTACAAGTTTGATAAGAATTTAATTTTATTGAGATAATTTAGATTATATATTTCATTTAAAATACACAAATAGATGATGCTTATTATGAATACGTAAAAAATAAATTTTTAAAAAAAATAACTTCTGCAGATAACCCTAAGTCTATAATTTAGTTTAACTAGTTTTAATACGTTTTCCTACTTCAAATATTTTAAAATTTGAATAATATTAGCATTAATAAAAAATAAAATAAACATCATCAAGCTAAATAAACATTTACCACTATCGTCTTGGGGTTCAAGATTTAATTCTTCCTGGTTTCGCTTTATTAAAGAGGTTGAGAATTTTTGAATTGTTATATTTTGTGATGATAAACTAAATTTCAAGTTAATATCAATTAGTAGTACATAATTTAGTTATAAAAATATAATTTAAAATACCTTTTAATATCTATATCAAGCTCTTTTTCTTTTGAAATATAGTTATAAGTATAATCTAAAGAAAATGCATTTTAAAGATTACTATAAATAATAATTTTAATTACAATTAAATTTTTTGTAGTAGTACCTTGGTTATTACCAAATGAAATTGTTGATGATGAATTTGTGGATAAACATTTAGAAATTAAAGCACTTAATGGCCTACTTGTATAAATTGCCTCCGGGTGGCAATTTCCAGCAAATTCAGGACCAATTTTCTTTGATCCTATCAGTTTCTTTCTTATTGCTTCAGCTTGTTCAAATTCTACTTTATTTTCATTTGTAAAATACCAAATATCAATTATGAAAAAAATTTTTCCTATAGAAGGTCTTTTTTTTGGATCAGGATCCCAACAACTTTTCATTAAATCAGCATAACATTTTGGTGTATCCTCTGTAATATTGGGTCGTTCTCCATCAAGAATTTTATAAATAAGATGAATATCATGTTCAACATTAGCAAAAGGTTTACAACCTGTTGTAAGTTCCCACATAATCATACCGAAACTATAGATATCAGCCTCTTTAGAAAACGCAGCCCCTTTAAATATCTCTGGTGCAATGTAAGGTATAACTCCATATATTTCATTGTTTAATGATTTACTACTTTCAGACTGCGATAATCCCAGATCCCCAATTTTCCATTGAAATACATCTAATAATATATTTCCGCTATGAAAATCTCGATGTATAAATTTATTCTTATGAATATATTCAAGTCTAAATAAAAAAAAGTTAATTACTGAAATTTTAAGAATATAATGAGCACATTTAAAATATAAATACCCCTTTGAAATTTCCTGTAAAATATGTAGTTTTTGATTATAACGATTACTCCACGCAATACTTGTAAAATTCTTTTGTAAATATTTATGTAAGTCTCCTTCTGACGCATATTCCATAACTAAAATATAATCATCTGATTCAGGTTCTTTTGTGTAACCATAAACTTCAATTATATAATTATGAAGTGGTTTATTTTTACAATGTTGATTTGATATTAACTATTAAATTTAAAGATTTAATTAAGGCAGGATTAAAGACTAAATTATTTAGTAAAAATCACTTACGAAAATATTTAGAAATACTCACTTCGTTTAAGAAATATTTAATATTATTTTTAGAACGTTCAAATCTTTTTAAAATGATTTCTCTATCTAAATCATCATGTGCTGGCCAAATTGCTTTATATATAATACCATATCCCCCTTTTGTTATTTCTTTTACATTTTTAAATTGAGAATATGGTATCCACTTAACTAATTTTACAATACGTACGTTTTTAAAAATAGAATTTAATAGAGTTTCTGGTACAAAATATTTATCAATTGAGTTTGCAATATCATGACCAAAATCTAAATTGTAATATATCATATTATTAAGAAAGAAATCAATAAGATAACAATCTGCATTACTACACAAAGTGAGTGATATTCTTTTGCATCTTCTACATTGAGTTTTGCCTGTAATTCCAAAAATAATGTTTGTTGTTAAACAATATCTGCATCCGATATAAAATACAAGACAATTTTTACAATACTTTTGACATTCTGATATAAATATTAATCTTGACGAACAATTTATACAATATAAATTGTTGTGCCACCATGGTAAGTAAAGAATTGAAACTTGCTTTTTAAACATGGTTGATTCTACACATTCAAAAGAAATTAGATAACAATCTGAGCATAGTCTTAATTGCTTTACAGTAGTACGTTCATCTAGTGACTTTCCACATAATTTACAATGTTTTTCACTTTCAATCACCTTATTGTATAATATGTTGATAACATTGTTATTAGTAGGGTATTCATTAAAAGATCCTATTATTTGTTTAAAATATAAAATTCTTATACAATTTCTATAATTTCTACAACATTTTTGTGGTACTTTTGTCTTACTTATCTCATGATGTACACTATATTCCAAGACCATTGTGTAATATATGTCCAAATATATATTATCATCAGTTATATCATTAATATAACGCGATAAACATTTTTTGCAATATTTTTGATCATGACAAAGAAGCGTCTCGATATATTTTTCTCCACAATAAATACAATTTAAATCAAATTTATTAAAAGAAATAAATTTAATTGGTATAGGACTAGATTTTAATCTTGGTGTTGGGTCAAAAAATTTTTCATTTTTTGTATTTGCAAGTTCCATTTTGTTATATTAATTTAATTAAGTATCGATAAAATAATGAATTTGGAAATTTTGAAAATTTTGAACGTATATTTATTTATAATTTCAGCTTGAACTTTCTGTTAGTGATACAGAAAGTATTTCTAGATTTCTCATGGAATTCTAAATTATTATGGAAAGTTTGTTTTAAATTTGGAAGTACTTTATCGAAGAGCAAATGCATAATAGTAATACAATTTCTTTATTATATTTATTTATTTAGTTAAAAAGTATTTTTAGTGTAATTATTAAATATTTCTAGAAGATAATGATGGAAACAAAAAATGATAAACAAATTAAGGAAATGTTTAGAAAATCAATACTTGAACAATGATAATTAAAAAAGAAATTTCTGTTTAAATAAGGTCGAAAAATAATTTTGTACGACCAATTGGGCGTGTATCACGTCATAATAAATGATGATAAAATTAAATCAATTTAATACTATAAAATCTTAAAGTAAATCGATCGTATATAAAATCATTATAATATTTGAGCTTTTACGTGATGTTTCTACTAAAACTAAGAAACAGGAACCGTTATAAAGTTCTTTCTGTCCGTTTACTTAGCTAGAAATGTATCAATAGCGTTAACTTTGTAAAATATGTATCGCATATGTCTGCGTGAGTTGATATTTTATTTGATAATGAATAACGTAACTTTTTTAAAAAATTATAAGAAAGCGAATAATATTAATGTTACTTTGTTTTTATAAAATTAAAACCAATCTATCTAATTTTTTATCGAGGAAAATATTATTGAGTTATAATCAAGAGGGTAACCCTTTTTTTAGATAGGAGAGAATTGAAGACTATAAAGTATAAACAAATGTTCATGATGTCACGTCTGCGGTCATCCAGTAATCACTCGTGTAAAATGTATGCTCGGTAAATCAAGCTTTTGACGTTAATCTTATACAGGATATTCAATTGTGAAACATACTGTACGTTTCGCCGTACTTTTCATTTTTCGCTAAAATATTTAGCGTTAGCTATTAATTATCGCACCCTATAGGATCATGCTGATTTTATTTGCGTGACGTTAATCATATTTTCCAAAAACTTTATATGCTAATTATGATACATATATAATTTATACAGTACAAGTATTTTAAAAGATGAGTATTTCCTTATCAAAAGATTTATCCTTATTTGTTTGATCATTTCCTATCCCTTCATTACTTAAATTTAATAAAATATGATTAAATTTAGTATTTTTTAAAGTATTCTTCTTTACCTTTTTTATAACTTGAAAAACTTCATAATCAACCACATTAAATTTTGAAGATATACCTATACTAGGATATGAATAAGGATTACTCGTCCAAGAATTACTATAATAAGAATAAACTAAATCATTTCCACCACCAAATCTTGGACCATCGAATGGAAAACATCCTATAGAATAATCATCTCCATTACTATAACCTATTTTTATACTTTCAAGATCATCATTTTTATCTGTTAATGAAAATATAAAACTATCTTTAGTTGACATCCAAGATTTATTTGAATCCCAATAAAGTGGATTATAACCTCCAACTATTTGTTCCGAATCTTTAATTTTTGCTATAATTATAGTAGCACCTTTATTATCACATTTTTCATGAAATGCTGTTGCTGTATAACCATCTCTACTAGCTCTATATAAAAGATTAAAATCATAAGGAATAGCTTTAATATACTTTGAATTCTCTTCTTTTTTATCAATCCAATTTGTAAGTAAAATGATATGATTTTGATTAATTATAAAAGAGTCAATAACACTTTTTGAATATCTTGGCTTATTATCAAACGTTAATTCAGAAGTTGTATAAAATTTTAAAATTTTTTCTTGTAATTCTTTTGGTAAAATTTCTTCATAAGGTTTGACTTTGATTAAATAATTATCATGAGAAATCTCATTAAATCTAACCAATGGTATAAATTTATGAAGAATTCTTTTAAAGACATCAAATTTTTCATGAAAATCTTTTCCAATATTATCATCATTAAGAATTGGATCTTGAGCTAATCCCCATTTAATAAGATTTTCCCAAATTTCAATTTCATCCAAATTCAAATCATCACGTTTTAGAATAATTTCTAATATAGGAGCAGGTAAATAAATAAATTTAGAAGAATTAAATAAAATTTCAGGATCATAACAGATCATTTCTAAACAAAATTCTTGCAAATTATTAAATTCTTGACGATAAAAAATGGTTTGTAAAATTCCAATTGGATCATCTCGTAAGAATTGATGATGATTTTCAATAAGGAAATCTTCGATGGGTTTAATTAATTGATTCAACTTTAAATCATCAGAGGCGATCATAATATTTAAAATCTCAATTCCGGTTTTTTTTGTAATATCAGCGTGTCCCGTATAAAGATATCTAAAAAAGAAATACGGTTCATATTAAAAAAAAATATGTATATATTTTTTTAACATTGAAATATTTTTCAAACTTACTTGATAATAACCTCAAAAGTTTGAGGAGTAATATTTGTTTCTTTAATTATATATTTTCCATCTTTTTTATCAATATCATTTGAAGAAAGGATTTTGTTAAAATATTCGGATCTACAACTCAAGATATTGGAGTGAGCACGAAATTCCTTAAAGTCACCAACGTAAATGATGACATCATAATTGGTTTCTGTTTTGAGTAATCTTTCAAGATTTTTTACAACTTCAGATTCATGGTTACATGACATGTTTTAGAATGTTTTTATTAAATATAATATTTCGAATGATAAGAAAAAAAAAATAACAAAATGAGCATAAAAGGAAAAAAAAAATGAAAAATGAAAATTACTTACACTATGTATTTATTGTTCCGTATATTTCCGCCAAAATAATCATAATGTGGGCTTCTTACAGTAATTTTACTAATTTGGGAAATAATTGATGACTTCAGAGAAAGATAGAAAAACTAGTTTCATCACAGGTTATATTAGTTTTTTAAATAACGTCATTTGTTTATAATTATGTGATATTGTCATACAGCACTTGGCTGGATGCAAATGTACTACAATAACAAAGATGACCAACAACATAAAATTCATGTGAATTCAGATATTCATTGATAAAGCATATGATTTCATACCAATCATAATCTCTTTAACGAGAATAAATAAATTTTATTCGTTAAAAATATACATTATCAAATATTTTAAGTTACTTTGTTTTCAACTCAGAATAAGCAAGTTAATTAATCATTCTTTTAATTCTTATTATGGTTACCCGATCCTTGTGTCATGAATTTTATTAATTGGTCAAAAAATTGTATGTATTGTATGTACAAAATTTTATATACTTTAAAAATTAATTATTAAAACATGATTCCCCTTAAAAAATTATTTATATATAAAATATTTTATCCGACAAACCGACATCATGTTAATTCGGATGATAAAAGTTAACGAACTCCGGCTCAACAAATGTTGATTACGTATTAAAATTTTCAATATTGTTATAATAAATGGAGATTCGTTATATTAAATTTTGACCATATTTCATAGTTGGTCTCATATTATTATTAACTTCATATCTTTAAAAGAAACAAAAAAAAAAATACAAATAAAAAGGGATGATCCTTTTCATTTAATTAATTTATTTGTTTACGCTGTTATTTTTTATTTATGTTTTTATTTTATTTTATTTTATTATTTTTTTGAGAAAAAAATTTTTGAAAAAAAATCAAATTTGAATGTTGAAAAGAAATAATACTTACATCTTCTTGATTTAATGAAATGTGAATGATGATACTATCATTACGACGTTACGTGCTTAATCAATATGATATTAACGTTCTTACAAATTATTTGAAAAGATTATAAAAATATTCTCTTAAATTATATAAACCCTCAGGAAATTTTTCAAATTTTTTTCAATTACCAAAATTTTTTTGATGATTTTTAATCATCGAGATCCCAAGGATAAGTGCGTAACGTAAAAATTAGTCACGAAAACGAAAACGTAAAGAATAAAGTTTCATTTATCTTTCCTTATATAGAAATCACATGACTTACAGACTATCATTAAAGTTTTTACGCTTAAAAGTATCAATGTTTATCTAGTTGTTTATTATTTATCGCATATCGTCATTCGTCACACGAATTATTTCAATTAATATGGGAATTTTATAACAAAATTTGAGTAACGCTTAAAAAAAATAATAAGTAGTTTCATTATTCATAATTTTTTTTTTATTTCTATTTTTACTTTAATGATGAAAAATATAAAATACTTTAATATATATAATATATATAATTTTGTTTTAAATTAGAATTTTTTTTTTTAATTTAGAATTTTTCTGTTCTTATTTCTTAAAAAAAAACTATCCGCCTATTCTAAAAATAGTGGTGATATACTTACTGCACTTACTGTAAATGAAATGTGATATTTACTATATATAGAATGAACTTCCTTTTTCTAAATCAAGTTACCTTACTTATAAATAATGTCACTTGATAAATATAAAAAACTGGTATCCGTACGTACGCCAAAGTTTGTCAAGTTTGTTCATCCCTTATTCACATGTATTAATTTGGAAGTTCATTCAATTGTTCCAAGTTAATTTAAATAATTTTTAAACCCTTAAAAGATTAAAAATAATAAAAATAATTTTTTTTTTTTTTTCAGCGTTAAAAAAAAAAAAATGTCCACGTTCAAGAGATTCTCCTCGAAAAGAAATTCGGAAAATGAAAGTTCTAATACATCATCCACCAATTCTGTTTCTACTTCACTTGCATCTGATTTAAATAATCTAAACCTTACTGAAGAACGTCTGAAACGTTATGCTGATGAGGCAAATACCCTATCTTCTGATACAACATGTATTGAAGGTGAAACCAAATTAAGGGCCAGGGCTATATTTTTACGAGAAAAGGCTGTATCTAAAACTCTTAATAACATCAAACTTTCAATGAAAGTTGATCTTTGCTTTGTTTTAGACTGTTCTGGATCTATGGCACCTTTTATTGATGCTGCTAAAGATTGTATTTTACAAGTTTCAAATTATGTTAAAAATACAAATCCAAATATTAAACTTCGAGTTGGATTTTGTGGATATCGTGATTATTATAATAAAGATAAACACCTACAAGTTTTTGATTTTACCGACAATTATGAAAATTTTACAAAATATCTACATAATCATGTGTTGGCCATTTCTAATGATGATGATCCAGAGGATGTTCTTGGAGGTCTTAATGCAGCAGTAAATCTATTGAATTGGATTAGTACCACTCGAGTTCTTCTTCATATTGGTGATTTTCCACCACATGGTCGTCGTTTCACAAATTTAAGAGATAAATATCCAGATGGTGATCCAAGTGGTCTAACTCCAGAAACTATATTAAAAGAAATGCAATCAAAAAATATTCTTTACTTCTTTGGAAAAGTTACGGATCATACAGAAAAAATGCTTCAAGTATTTCGTGGTATAATCGGTGAATTTCCAGTGTTTGATATTGTGGGAGGTGATCCAATTGAATTAATTGAAAAACTTGTTAAGGCTACATCATCATCTATTACTCTTGCTGTTTCTTTAACTAGTACAGTTGGAAATGGTTCCAAAGATATATATTCTTTACAACAAAAAAAACTTGACATGAATCCAAATGAACCAGATTGGAAAATTCTTTCATTACAAAAAGGAGTTGTAATGTGGTATCAAATTCCTAAATATTTGAATGAAATTAAAGATCAAAAATATTTTAATAAATCGGAATTATTTTCTAAAAGTTTCTCATTCAAGATTGCCTCTCAACCATTTTCTGCAGGTATTGAAAAGTGTGCATATTATGCTCTTGATGATCAAAATAATCCATTGGTTATAAAGGAATATCATTGCGTTGGAAGAACGAATCCTTTTGAAAAATATCTCGAAGCGATAGAAATATCTACTGTAGCATCTTTTCTTTCTAGAGAATTTAATTTAATTACAAAAGGAAAAGAGATTCATAAAGTAAACTATCTTGATGTGAGTCTTTTACGTACCGGTACCGTTGATCTTCATACTCGATATTATACTATAGAACCAAGACTTCAAAATTCTGGGTATAAAAGATTTAATGCAAATACTGGTATTATTACAGAACTTCATCATACACTTGAGGCATTTGCTCATTTTACATATAAGTATACCAATGGTTATTTAGTTGTTTGTGATCTTCAAGGAATTGAACTTGATGGTGAATTCTTGTTAACAGATCCTGCGATACATTGTGTTGATACCTTAAGATTTGGAAGAACAAATTTTGGTAAAGAAGGAATTAAACAATGTTTCTTAGCAAATCATAAATGTAATGAAATTTGTGAAAAATTGAGATTAAGTTCCAATTCTAAATTTAGATTAAACCTTGAAAAGTTAAACCTTTTTAAGGGATGTTTTTAGTTTTGTATATATAAAAGTTATATGTAGTAAATATTTGATATTTCAGAAATGTATATTCGATAATTCTTGTATAAATTATTTCCCAAATTTTTATTCCCAAATTTTTTATCGAAATAAATAAAAATCGTTAACGTAAAAATTTAAAAGTATCATGTACACATGCTTGATGTTAATATAGTTAATATAAAAATTTTAAATTATATTTTAACTTGATTTAATTATAATAATTGTTCACGCTCAATAAAAAATATTTAATATAATATTTAATATAGAAGAATTTGTCTGAGCCTTATTTGACTTTTTTTTAATGATCTAAAATAAGTGTCGTATTTATCCAATGAGATCTGCGAAAAAAACATTATTTGGTAAAGCAGTGACGTACATTAGCTAATATTAGTTTCATAAGATCTTTTTTAACCAATAATATTTAATTGTATATATAATATTAATTTAACCAATAAAAATGTTTAATTTTGTGTCGCTTAAGATTCTCCTAAAATATTGGCTAATTTCTGATATATGTCATGGCCCTAAATCATCTGCCGGTAAATTAAGCGTACGTGAATTTTGTCGATCTAATTATTTGTAAGAAATAAGAAATGAAATATAAAACAACAAAGCAACTATTTTCATCTTTTTTGTATTAATTATGTACGAAATTATCTCTGCGTTGAAGTATTAAAATTTTTTATGAACTTTTTTTTTGTTATACTTTTTGTTTGCATATTAACGCTAATATTTTTACGATTTATTTTTTTTTTACATTTTATTATATTTTGTTTTTGATGATTAAATTTTCGTAAGATTTTCGTAAAATTTTTGTTTAATTTTAAAAAGAATTTTAAATTATTCGTTAAGTTATTGAAACATATTAAATGTACATCAGATTTTAATATATCAGACCATCTTATTTTTAATAGAGATAATTTATATTTTTTATTGAAAATAAAAAACGCGTAGTTATCACATTGTTTCTCTCAAATTCTATGCTATATTGGAGTTTTGCCGGAGCAATTTTTAAACCTTAAACCATATGAATTGAAAAAAAACCCGATTAAAAATTCGTTGAATTGTTATCACGTGATTAGCGTAGCACATAATTAAATGTGCGAGCGCGAACATTTGATAAAATTTTGCTTAAATTGTTTACTTTATTTCAATTTGCAATTTATACAATATAATAATAATATAATAATAATAAACAGCCTATAATAATAATATAATATAATAATATAATATCATAATAATACAAATGAAGCGAAACCCTAATATTCTTTAACAACATGAAAAACTTCATAATCTTCTACATTAAAATTTTTTGGTATATTAATATCAGGATAAGTATATGAAAGACTCATCCATTTACCATCATTTAAACAAATTAAATCACAACCGCCACCAAATGCTGGACCATAACCTGGTTCACTATATATTGAATGATTTTTAAATTTACTATAACCTACTTTTCCACTTTGAAGATCATTCATATCAGTAAATGAGAATATAAAACTATCTTTTGTTGATTGAAATTTTTCACAATTTTCCCAAGAAAGAGGATTATAACCTCCAACTATTTTATTAGAATCTACAAGTTTTGCTACAACAATCATATTACTCTTATTATCACATTTTTCATGAAATATTGAGGGAGCATTTCCATATTTACTAGCACGATAAATTAATTCAAATTCATAAGGATTATTGATTGCAGTATAATATGAATCATTTTTCTTTTCAATCCAATTAGAAAAAATAGAAAAATGTTCATCATTAATAATAGTACTAGTTGTCAATCTTGATGGTAAAAAGAAATCTTCATTTGTTTCTTTTGATAATAAATAATATTGCATTATTTTATTTTTATAATCATCCGGTAATATATTTTCATAAGGATAGATCTTATCATAAAATTCTTCAGAACCAATATCTTGAAATCTAATCAATGGTATCAAATCATGTAAAGTATTTTTCATCATCTTAATATCTTGTTGAGTCCATTTACTAAGATCAGAATCAATATTAGGATTTTGTGCATATGCCCATTTGATTAAATTATTCCAAATTTCAATTTCATCCAATAAAATATTTTTTTGATTTAAAATAATCAAAAGAATTTTTGATGATAATGTTAAGAAAAATTCTTTTTCAAATAAAAGGTTTGGATTTTTACAAATTATTTTTAAACAAGATTTTTGTAAAATTTCAAATGATTCATCATCATTATTATTACAAAGTTCAAATAATTCTATTAAATTATTTTGAACAAATTCTTTTTGATTATTATTTAAATATTCTTGAATATAATCTGATAAAGTTTGTAATTCTAATTCTTTTACGGATATTAATAATTTTATAATATCGGTTCCATTTTCTGTAGTTAAATCAATTTGTCCACAATATAAAAATCTATATAATTAAATAAAAAAAATAATTTATTAATATTTTTATTTTTTTATTATTATTAAAGTCAAATAATTTAATCTTATAATTTACCTGATAATCTTGTTTAAATTTTCTAATGTAACGTTAGGTATCTTTAAAAAATATTTTTCATTCTCTTTTTTCACCAAATTATTTGAAAAAGCGGTTCGAAAATAATTTGAATGACAACAAAGAATTATAGAATGAACGTGTATTTCTTGAATATTTAATTCCTCCCCTGAATAAATTATCATATCATAATTTTCTTTGGATTCTAATAAATTTTCGAGATTTTTCACTCGTTCTGATAAAATTTTTTTTTCCATTTTTTCTTCCATTTTTTTTTAAAAAAAAAATAAAAAATAAAAAATAAAAATAAAAAAATAAAAAAGGATTTAGAGGAAAAAAAATTCGAAAATTTATAAGAATTTATAAAATTTATAAATTTTATTTTTATTATTAATCGTTATCGCGTGATCATGTGATCATGTGAATACAATATGACAAATGATTAATTACAAATGACTGTAGTACTTGTCAACATTATTGATAATTCTCGTTAATTAATTGGGTAAAAAAAAAAAAAAAAATCTATATCGGTCATCGTTAAAAGTTAATTATTTTATTGTTTTTTATTCTTTGATTTTTTACCCAATAAATAATTAATATTCTTTTTAATAAATTTTAAAAATCAACTAAAATTGGTGAAATCTCATTGAATTGAATTGCAATGCTCAATTTGTAATACAAACATTTTTTTTTTTTTTTTGTACAATGCCTGTAAATCTATTTGAAATTTGTGAATCATTCGAAAGTTCCAACGTATTTTGGTCATTTGACATAAACAAAACATAATATGTGTAACCGCGGACATAAATATTTGTTACAATAAATAAAACTATATCTGATTTATATATTTTTACTGCGCAATATATAAAATCAATTCAATAAGGTCGAAGCGAAGGAAATTATATTTTAGAAGTTTGAATGAAAATTTATATCACTTAATGATGATTTTCATTTATCACATCGCGTCTCCACAATTTTTTTTAAAAAAATCTTCTAATCGAATTACGGTCCTCACTCGCTAAATATTAAAAAAAAAAATTTCGACATCTTGTTTTACAGGATTTGTTTATTGTTGTCATGTTCTACTACAAGTTTTATGGACTAGTTTATTTAAAGAAACTTTACATATTTCATATTCATTTTTAAATTTATATTAGACAGATTTTTGCGTGAATAAAGTTATGTGTAATAGTTATTTCAACGGGGAGTCAATGGAGTCATGAATATCAATGATTTTCAAAGCTGCGCCGTGAAAATCATGGTATTTATGCGACACGTGAAATAACTCTTTTATTTCACGTCCAGTGATGGGAAAAGGTGGGAAAAACTATAAAAACACGCAATATCATCAGGAAAATTATAGGCATGAATTATATCATCAAAAAAATCACTGGAGACCAATTAGTAAACATGATTATTTATTATCAGTTATAATATTATAGTGTACGGTACATATAAACTAACTAAACAGTGCAGTATTGAACTATTGCTGTGAACCATCTTCAGTAAACTGCAAATCCTACCCACTCTCTAGTCTATAAATTTACAACACACAAGCAACGGAGACATATAAAGAAATTTGTTGTCATATTAGTAAGCTTGAATAAGCATTTATCACGTTCACTGGTTTCTTTTAAAAATATATTATGCACTATGTTTAAAATTTTATTCTTTGTAAACAAATTGTTTTAAATACCTCGTACTAACAGTTATAATAAATATTTTAAAAAAAGTATGTTTTGATCAAAATTCGAAATATATAATTACCAAACAAAATTTGGATGTTTATAACAATTTATATCATTTTTTAACAACTTGAAATACTTCGTAATTCTCTATATCAAAACATTTATAATTACCTTCTGAAGTATAATTTGCCGGCACGTCAATTTTAGAATAAGAAATTGGATTGTTCATTGCCCAAGTATAATTATTACCATTATAATTATCATGGAGAAACAAATCATAACCATTACCAAATATTGGTCCACAATCTGGTTTATTATACAGTGACACCTCTATAAGTGCACCCTCTATAAGTGCACGCACTATATAAATTCTCTTTAAGTGCACGGTGGGCCTGATCCCACCCTATAAGAAATATGTATACGGAAAGGATACGTTTTGTATACATTTTATGTACGTTTCTATAGATTCCGTATACAAATTCCGTATATTTAATAAGCAATTCATTTTTGAACATTTTTTAAAAAAACTAATGTATACGGAAAAAATTAATCATACGGAATGTATACGGAATTTTTAAACTTAATATTTTTAGAAAATAATTTTCACAAAAATCTCGTATCAATGTATCATAACACGAGATCACGTGANTTTTGTGAATGATTTACTTTGATAAATTGTTTCAAGAATTTCTATAGCATTTTGATGTAAGTATGTTGATTGATTTTTAATTAATTAATCTTCAATTTGAGAAATAAAGTACGAATATTAAGGTAATCTACTGCCATCGTGAGTTTTAATAATTCAGATCCGTCTAATGTGGTTAAATTAATCTTTCCACAATAAATAAAACTGTAATGTAAGAGAATTAATTATATAAATGTTATTTTACACGATTCGAATAAATTAATTAATATCAAGAAGTAGCTAGGGAAATGTATGAAAATTTTAAAAATAAGATGGTAACGATTTAATTTTATACTTGCCTTAAAATCATTTTAAATAATTTAGAAGAAATATTAGGTCTTTTAATAATAATTTTTCCATCCCTTCTTTCAACATTTTCTTCAAATAATTTTGTACAAAAATATTGAGACCTGGTACTTAAAACGAGTGAATGTGCACGAATTTCCTCATTTTCATCGACGCAAATAATAACATCGTAACCTCTTCCATTTTCAAGTAATTTTTCGTAATCATTAATGACTTCTTGCCAACATTCAATAGACATTGTTTTTTATTTATTTTATTTATTTTGCAAAGGTTGAAAAGAATTCTGAAATTCAAAAATTTTTTGAGGATTTTTATATTTTTACGTGTTCATTGAATGACAATTTCGAGTACTAGCTGGTGTTACGTTGTTTGTTGTCGATCTTTTAGCGTTTTAGGATGAATATGAATTTTCCCGAAACCGCTTGAACTGATCTCTTTAAAATTATAAAATATTCATATTTGTAGTATTTAGAAATAGATTCCTCAGCCAATTATTCCATTCGTTTGAATTCAATGTCTTGATTTTCAAAATCATTTTTTTTTAAAAAAAAAAGTGTTAATAGTTTATCCGGATTGAATTTCGCTAGAATTTCATTAATCGATTAAATTGATTAGTTAAACCCACAATCTTACCGTATAAGTATTAGTTATCACCTGATCGGCACCATTTATATGCAAATCGTTCCTAGGAGATTTTGCAGTAAAAAATTAACTATTATTAAACTATAATAAGAATAGACGGCTTTGAAAGTTTGTGCAATTCAGAAAGATTTACATTTCCAAATAAGAAAAATTTTTCTTTTATCTGTAATATCAATATTTTTCAAGTGTAATTAGAGATGGGCACTGGGTGCATGATACCATGCTATACACGCATCATGCAAGTGCATGACCTGTCTCTTATACACATCTAGATGTGTATAAGAGACCAACTTATAAGAGCTCTTAATATTTTACTCTCTATAAATGCACACCCTCTCTAAGTGCACATTCTACTATTTTTTTACTATGGTCCCAAGGAGGGTGCACTTAGAGAGGTGTCACTGTATATAGCATCGCCATAGTACCCATCATTAATATAACCTACTTTTGCAGTTTGAAGGTTATTTCTATCCGTAAATGAGAATATAAAGCTGTCTTTTGCAGTACTCCATCCACCAGTTAATGGATTATATCCTCCAACTATTTGTTCTAAATTTTGAATTTTTACTACAACTATAGTAGCTCCTTTGTTATCACATTTAGCATGAAAAGCTGCTGCTGTATTACCATCCCTATTAGCACGGTAAAGTAAATTGAACCTATAAGGAATATAATGTGTATATTCCCTTTTGTCAATCTAACCCGCAAATATAGCAATATGTTTAGGCTGTATAATAGCAGAATCTATTTTAAGTTGTCTAGGAGGAGGTATATTAACGTTTGTTCGCCTACTTAATGTAATATGAAACGTCAAGAGATCATTAAGTAAATCCCTTGGCAGTAATCCTTTTAAAGGAAATATTTTATCAAGAAAATCTTCTGGAGACATATAATGAAACCGAACTAAAGGAATAAATTCACGAAGAGTTCTTTCCATAATTCTAATTTCTTCATCATTCCATCTAGTGTTATCTTGCAAAATAATAGGCGAAAGAATAGGAAATCTTCCAAATAGACTTCTTGTACTTCTTGTTGCACTTCTTGCACTTGCATTTTGTGCAAGTCCCCACTTCAATTAGGGATGGGGTCGGTTCGATTACGTAATTTTGAGCGGTTTTTGGAACCGATCAAAATCTCGAGAGTTTCGAACTTATATGAGCCAAAAATCTTATTGGGAATAGAGAAACACTAATATTTTTACAATAAATAAAAAAAAAGAAAATTTATAAGTTAAAACAATTTTTAATAGCTTTTAAAAATTGAACTGAACCGGTTCCGAACCGGTTCTAAAAACCGGTTCAAAATATGATCAACATCAAAATTATGATGATCATGAACCAACTATTGATTGTTAACCAATCAAAATTTTTTTAATTCATAATCAATATATGTTCGACTTGTGTCTTTAATTTGACACATGTAGCTCATATTTTTCTTAATGGGAACCGACGTGGAACCGACGGGGAACCGAAATGGAACCGAACGAACCGTCCCCATCCCTAACTTCAATAAACTATTCCAAACATCAATTTCTTCCAAAATCAAATCATCCCTTTTTATAATCGACTTTAATAATGGTTCTTCTAAATTAATGAATCTATCAGAATTAAATAGCATTATAACAATTTTATCTAAATTTAAATCATTCTGCTTAAATAATAATTTTGCCAATGGCTCTTTTAATTTTCTAAATTTATTAAAATCAGATAATATTTCGATAACTTCATCTAAATTTAGTTTCAAACAATATTTTGGGTTTTTTATAAATTTGTTCAAAACAACAATTCCATAATTTTGTGAATGATTTACTTTGATAAATTGTTTCAAGAATTTCTATAGCATTTTGATGTAAGTATGTTGATTGATTTTTAATTAATTAATCTTCAATTTGAGAAATAAAGTACGAATATTAAGGTAATCTACTGCCATCGTGAGTTTTAATAATTCAGATCCGTCTAATGTGGTTAAATTAATCTTTCCACAATAAATAAAACTGTAATGTAAGAGAATTAATTATATAAATGTTATTTTACACGATTCGAATAAATTAATTAATATCAAGAAGTAGCTAGGGAAATGTATGAAAATTTTAAAAATAAGATGGTAACGATTTAATTTTATACTTGCCTTAAAATCATTTTAAATAATTTAGAAGAAATATTAGGTCTTTTAATAATAATTTTTCCATCCCTTCTTTCAACATTTTCTTCAAATAATTTTGTACAAAAATATTGAGACCTGGTACTTAAAACGAGTGAATGTGCACGAATTTCCTCATTTTCATCGACGCAAATAATAACATCGTAACCTCTTCCATTTTCAAGTAATTTTTCGTAATCATTAATGACTTCTTGCCAACATTCAATAGACATTGTTTTTTATTTATTTTATTTATTTTGCAAAGGTTGAAAAGAATTCTGAAATTCAAAAATTTTTTGAGGATTTTTATATTTTTACGTGTTCATTGAATGACAATTTCGAGTACTAGCTGGTGTTACGTTGTTTGTTGTCGATCTTTTAGCGTTTTAGGATGAATATGAATTTTCCCGAAACCGCTTGAACTGATCTCTTTAAAATTATAAAATATTCATATTTGTAGTATTTAGAAATAGATTCCTCAGCCAATTATTCCATTCGTTTGAATTCAATGTCTTGATTTTCAAAATCATTTTTTTTTAAAAAAAAAAGTGTTAATAGTTTATCCGGATTGAATTTCGCTAGAATTTCATTAATCGATTAAATTGATTAGTTAAACCCACAATCTTACCGTATAAGTATTAGTTATCACCTGATCGGCACCATTTATATGCAAATCGTTCCTAGGAGATTTTGCAGTAAAAAATTAACTATTATTAAACTATAATAAGAATAGACGGCTTTGAAAGTTTGTGCAATTCAGAAAGATTTACATTTCCAAATAAGAAAAATTTTTCTTTTATCTGTAATATCAATATTTTTCAAGTGTAATTAGAGATGGGCACTGGGTGCATGATACCATGCTATACACGCATCATGCAAGTGCATGACTGCGCATCAAAATGTACACAAAATAGACTTTATAGTTTATACTATTTTTATTAACTTTATTTTAAACTTTGCAATATACTATAAATTAATGATACACGATAAAATTACAATTTACTTCGGAACCTTTCTTTTCACTTAATTTTCTTTAAATTAATAAGCTATAAGTTCTTACTAAATGGATAGGGAAATAAATAATGAAGAAATTGATAGTGAAGATGAATAAATAAATCAAATAAAATCATATGTAAATTTGTTATTATTGCAACTTTATGTAATACATATTAATTATCACGCACTGCTTAATCGTGTATATTATGCAGTGTGCATGGCATCACGTACATGAAACCACCAAAAATGCATTTTGTCCGTCTCTAAGTGTAATGATAGTAATAATTCTGAAAGCCTCTATTCATTTGTTAAAATTTCTTTAGGATAGAAAGATAAAAAAAATGAGAGAAAGAAAATATAAAATATACTACATTTGTAATATTCACAGTTTCACACCCACTGAGCAGAATATTGTATACTATAAACCACTTTGCTATTGTGTAAATGGCAGGGGATAACTTATAATGATGAGAATAACGGCAGTTAACAGATTATTAATTATATAAGATAACCTGCATCATGAAGTAAAAGATTAATGCATAAATAGGGGAAATAAAGAGAAAATAAAGTGGAGTATTTAGTTTTAGAATCAGATCTAGGAATGAATGGTCGGTCGTGGTCGGTCATTGGTCGGTCATAACCAGTCAAGAATCTTTGACCAACCGCTGACTGTTTTGGTTGACCATTTCTGTCCCATAATTATCGTCTGTAAAAAGATTTTGAACGCTACATAAAAAGTTATAAACATTTAAATATAGTGTTGACCGACAATTTGACCGACTAGACTAACGTTCTTACCGAAAATAAGTTAACTGAATTAAAATATTTTATTGTTTACATTTAAGAAATTGTAACTTAAATTACAATTTATAATAAATTGCTTAAAAATGATCGGTTAAATGGTTAGGCAGAAGTCTTTGAACGAACTGATCTTTATACTTATTTCTTTATTCCTTTTTTTATTATATTCCAAACATTTATTATTGAACACAATCATAATTTTCAATTATTCATACGCTTATTATTTGCATATACTACTGTACATTCATTTCTTAATTTTTTATTATTAAAAGATTAATAAAAATTTGTCACACTAAATAGTTTGACTAGAATTTTGGTTGAATAATTTAATCGATTAACCAGCTTCAGTTATGAGAAGATACCTTAACCGTTAAACCATCTTAATTGGTCAATTATTAATATTAATCGATTCAAACATCTAATTATTAAATGATTTTATAATAAGAACAAATGAACCACAAACTATACTCATTATTTTGGAGGAATTTCTAGCATTGACATTTGAAATTTAAATAAAAATTTATTTAAATATAAACAATATAAAATTTAATAATAAAAGTACTAATCTGAATAACCTATTTTTTAATAACTTGATATACTTCATAATTCTCTGTTCGGAAATTTCCTGCTATATCAATTTTAGAATAAGAAGATTGATTACTGTTACTATTCTGATTAATAGGATGAATTATTAAATCATGACCATTACCAAAAGTTGGGCCATTACTTTGATGGCAATATATAGCATTACTATAGTGCCCATGATTAATATAACCTACTTTTGCAGTTTGAAGGTCATTTCTATCCGTAAATGAAAATATAAAACTGTCTTTTGTAGTTCTATAAGCACCATTTGAATCCCAATGCAATGGATTATATCCTCCAACTATAAGTTCCGAATTTTGAATTTTTGCTACAACTATGGTAGCTCCTTTGTTATCACATTTAGCATGAAAAGCTGCTGTATTACCATCCCTATTAGCACGGTAAAGTAAATTGAACCTATAAGGAATATAATGTGTATATTCCCTTTTGTCAATCCAACCTGCAAATATAGCAATATTTTTAGGCTTTATAATAGCAGAATCTACTTTAAGTTGTCTAGAAGGAGGTATATTAACGTTTGCTCGCCTACTTGGTGTAATATGAAACGTCAAGAGGTTATTAAGTAAATCCTTTGGCAGCAATTCTTTTAAAGGAAATATCTTATCAAGAAAATCTTCTGGAGACATATAATAAAATCGAACCAAAGGAATAAATCCATGAAGAGTTCTTTCTATAATTTTAATTTCTTCATCATTCCATTTAGTGCTATCTTGCGAAATAGTAGGATTTTGTGCAAGACCCCATTTCAATAAACTATTCCAAACATCAATTTCTTCCAAAATTAAATCATCCCTTTCTATAATCAATTTCAATAATGGTGCTTTTAAATTAATAAATTTGTCAGAATTAAATAACATTATAACAATTTTATCTAAATCTAAATCATTTCTTTTAAATAACAATTCTGTTAATGGTTCTTTTAATTTATTAAATTTATCATAATTAGATAATATTCCGATAATTTCATCTAATTTTAAATCATTCCGTTTAAATACTGATTCTACTAATGGTGCTTTTAAGTTGACAAATTTATCGGTTTCAAATAACATTTTAGGTTCTTTATAAATTTTTTCGAGACAAAAATTCCATAATTTTGTAAATGATTCACGTTGATAAATTGTTTCAAGAATTTCTATAGTATTTTGGTATAAGAAAGTTGATTGATTTTTAATTAAATAATCTTCAATTTGAGGAAATAAAGTACGAATATTAAGATCATCTACTTCTATTGAGAGTTTTATTAATTCAAACCCTTCTATTGCAGTAAAATCAATCCTTCCACAATAGATAAATCTGAAATATTAGCGAATTATTTGAATATTAGTATACAGTTTGAATATCAATGAGAGAAGAGCATAAAATTTATAAAACTTATAAAATTTTCAAAAATAAGGCCATAATGATTTATATTTTATATTTACCTTAAAATCATATTAAATAATTTAGAGGAAATATCAGGTCTTTTAATAATGATTTTTCCATCCCTTCTTTCAACATTTTCTTCAGATAATTTTGTACAAAAATATTGAGACCTGGTACTTAAAACAAGCGAATGCGCACGAATTTCCTCATTTCCATCAACACAAATAATAACATCATAACCTCTTTCATTTTCAAGTAATTTCTCATAATCATTAATAACTTCTTGCCAACATTCAAGAGACATCTTTTGATTATTTATTATTTTACAAAGTTTAAAAAAAGAATTCTGAAATTTAAAAAAACTCCGAGAAATTTTATATTTTTCACATGTTCATTAAATGCCAATTTTGTGTTGTACTACAGGTGTTACGTTTCTCAAATACCTTGGCGGTGTCGATCTTTTAGATTGATAATTATGGATGGGTATCACAAGACTAAAGCTTTTGTGATTACACTTCAAATAATGCATGATATAGCAAAGCATGCGAAATAAATTATCTAAATGCTTGAAGGTAGCTAAGGTAGACTAGTTAAGAGTTAAGACATAAAATTAAAGGTTGATTTTAGGAGACTAATTTTGGTCCCATTCATAAATATTAACAAGTTTGTAAAAAGACTAGTCGGATCGGATATTCAGCTTAAGTTTTTTGATGAGAATTTTCTTTATAAGCGAAATTACTAATTTTTTTTGTTTTTGTTAGTAACGCGCACTTTCTTTTATTATATTAGAAACTAAATTACATATATTAAAAAGAAATACAATAGACATAGCCGTACCAAGATACTAGTTATCTACCTACTAACTGAACGGAAGCAGGCGTCTAAACCCACTTGCTAAAACTAATCTAAGGACTATATATAATCTAATTTCTATTGAAACTAGGCAAATCTATGACATAATACAGTATATTTATATTCAGTATGTAAGAATTTGAAACAAAATTGGAATAAAGTCCACAAAAATTATTAGAAAGTTAGAAAAATTTAAAAAATATTCTTTTTATTTAATGATTGCAGTTCGTTCGAACATGAACGAGTCGAATGTTCGAGTCGACCCCGCAATTCTAAGAACAATCTTGTCTTCACTTTTTCGTAGTTCCTTAATTTTTGTTGTAATGTTGCCGTAAGCTTAATCACTGTCATTATCATGACTACCCTGTGTCATCATGATGCGTTTTTGTTTACATTCATAATTCCGTTTTTCGTATCTGTTTCAACTTCTTTGCCTTTCCCTTTTGTTCCTGATCCTTCCGCACTTCCACTTATTATTTGTATTCTGCCAATAAATTCTTGTTTAAGTTTATTAAAATCATGTAGGACTTCGTTGGTCTGAGTTGTTGAAACTGTTGGGTTTTCCATCGCTTTGAAAAATTGTTCGTCCTCCGAAGAACTAGTGGTTTTTAGAATTACCTTCTGGCTTTTCAAACTGTTACCCTATAAAATAAAATTCTGGAAAAACCTCAGATAAATGATCATTTTTTTAGTTTTTATTCAGAAGAAAATCAGACACGTGATCATTTTTCCGAAAAATTTTTTTATAGGGTTAACAAAGCCTCCTTTGCCGATCAGTTCATCTTGATCTTTAATTTGTATTTCTTTTCCAATTCTTCGCCTATTGCAGAATCGTAGACCGCCTTCATTAGGTCATTTTCATTGTTGAAATATATCAATATGTATTTTTCTTGACAATTTCTCGAAATGGCCTCCATATTTTTCTTTGAATGCTTTTAATAATTAGATGATCAGCTATACTGCTATACTTTTCCGGATCCAGTTTTTAACACCTTGCCAACTGTATCTTCGTTTTATTAGTAGTTCTTTTGGGGATAATTTAGAGTCAAACATTCTACAGAAATAAGTCTGATTGTTTTTTGCGATAGCTATATTTGATCTACCATTTTTATATATTGTTTCATATGCTTTGGTGAAACAAATCGTTGCTCTAACGGTTTTGTATTTATATTAACATTTGACGGAAAGTTTTTCTACGTGTCCCACTTTTTTTAGGCTTTCATATATTTCCAGTACCACGGAAAGATGGAAAGTCATAGAATATCATATCACGTGAGACGTCGGCAAAAATTACATCCAGAAAACCTGCATAGGAAGTTATTTTAACCGGTACCTTAACGATCTTTCCATTCTTTGGTGTTTGTGCCACCGATCTTTTCCGATTGCTGCGTTTCTTACGATGAGCATCAAATTCTTAAATTCGGAATATGTGAGTGTTGGAGGATCATCATGAATCACAGATGATAATGCTGGCCAAAATTGAATCATAATGCCGGCTGACATTATCAAACTCTAGATGCACCAGGTTTTATGCGAATTTTTGATTTCTGAAATCTGGACATGGTTCGCTCTCAGTTTAAGAATGGTAAAATCCAATAAAAACTGATGATTGTTGATATTATAAAGTGTAAGTTTCCACATTTTGCATTATTCTGTCTAAATTATTAGTGCAATAAAAAAGAATCAAAAAAATAAGAGAGGGTTATGGGAATAAAATGACCTAATTATGAGTTTTACAATTCATAATTATATAATTTAATAATTAGTTTATTTTTTTTATTAATTTATTGAAAAAATCTAAATTTTTTATTATTAATATATGTTTTCAAAGTGATTACTTTCATTTTATTGTAAATATGTATTTTAGATGTCGTTTACTGCTGACATTCGGTGAAAACATTAAAAAAGTAAGTATAGATCAAAAATTCAAAAATATATGCATATCAACCAACTTTGGATGTTTTAAAATAAAATGTAAATTATTTTCTAACAACTTGAAATACTTCATAATTCTCCATATTAAAAATTTTATAGCTACTATTTATATTATATTCTTCTGGCGTATCAATTTTAGAATAAGAATATGGATTGTTAATTCCCCAAGTATTATTATTATTATTTAAATTGTTAAATTGCCACAGATCATGTCCGCCGCCAAATCTTGGACCATAATTTTGACTGGAATATACAGCATTTTCATATCGTCCATCTTTAATATAACCTACTTTTGCAGTTTGAAGGTTATTTCTATCCGTAAATGAGAATATGAAACTATCTTTTGTTGATTTATTAGAATTACTTGAATCCCAAAAAAGTGGATTATATCCTCCAACCATGTGTTCTGAATTTTGAATTTTTACTACAATTATAGTAGCTCCTTTGTTATCACATTTAGCATGAAAACCTTCTGGCGTATTACCATCCCTATTAGCACGGTAAAGTAAATTGAACTTATAAGGAGTATTCATTACATTATAATGGAAATTTCCTTTTTTATCAATCCAACTTGCAAATATAGAAAGATGTTTAGGCTGAATAATAACAGAATCAAATTTCGGTTTTCTAGAAGGATGTAGATCAATATTTGATCTTCTATCTGGCATAATATGAAAAGTCAAAAGACTATTAACTAAGTCTATTGGCAGTAAGTGTTTCAAAGGATATATCTTATCAAGAAAATCTCCTGGTGGCATATCATAAAATCGAACTAAAGGAATAAATCTATGGATAGTTCTTTCCATTATTTTAATTTCTTCTTCATTCCATCTAGTGCTATCTTGTGATATAGAAGAATTTTGTGCAAGACCCCATTTTAATAAACTATTCCAAACAATAATTTCTTCCAAAATTAAATCATCCCTTTTTAAAATCAATTCTAATAATGGCGCTTTTAATTTAATAAATTTATCAGAATTAAATAACATTATAACAATTTTATCTAAATTTAAATCATTTCGTTTAAATAACGATTCTGATAATGGTTCTTTTAATTTATCAAATTTATCATAATTAGATAATATTTCGATAATTTCATCTAAATTTAAATCAGTTTGTTGAAATACCAATTCTACTAATGGTACTTTTAAGTTTGCGAATCTATCAGCTTCAAATAATATTTTAGGTTCTTTATAAACTTTATCAAGACAAAAATTCCATAATTTTGTGAATGATTCACGTTGATAAATTGTTTCAAGAATTTCTATAGCATTTTGATGTAAGTATGTTGACTTATTTTTAAACAAATAATCTTCAATTTGAGGAAATAAAGTACGAATATTAAGATCATCTACTGCTATCGAGAGTTTTAATAATTCAGGCCCTTCTAATGTGGTTAAATTAATCCTTCCACAATAAATGAAACTGGAATATAAGAGAATTAATTAATTTAGTTTACATGATTCGAATAAATTAATTGATATCAAAAGGAATTAGGAAAATATATGAAAATTTCAAAAAATTAAGATAATTTTTTTAATTTTATACATGCCTTAAAATCATCTTAAATAGTTTAGAAGAAACATCAGGTTTTTTAAAAATGATTTTTCCATCTTTTTTTTCAACATTTTCTTTAGATAATTCAGTACAAAAATATTGAGACCTGGTACTTAAAACAAGTGAATGAGCACGAATTTCTTCATTTTCACTTGCATAAATGATAACGTCGTATCCTTTTCCATCTTGAAGCAATTTTTCATAGTCATTAGCAACTTCTTGTAAACATTCAAGAGACATTTTTCTTTTTCGTTTGCATAAAATAAATGAAATTATAAATTCGAAAGAAGGATAAAGAATTTTTTATACTTTTACGTATCCATTGAGTGCCTATTTTGTGATTTACTAGTATGGTGTTACGTTGCTCAAGTTCTAACTCTAAATCACTTATGTAAGCATTACGTAATGAAATGTCGATCATATCACAAAAATTGTTCGAATCAAATATTTTGTTTTGTGCTAAATTTTTTATAGCTTTTTATGCAAATTTTTTTTTTTAAATATTTAAGCAATAAATAAACTTATTCAATATTTCAATTTTCAAAGCTAAATAGATTTTTATTTAAGGTTGGGAGCTGCCGATCTTTTAGTGTGATCCGGTGATAACAAAAATATTTATATTTTAGATTCTCAAATGTCACAAAATTAAACTTTGTGATGTTCATAATTTTTTTGTATAAAAGAATCGGTATATAAATAAATATAAGATCATTGTCTATTTGAAAATTTTGCATAACCCAATTTTATATGCGATTTTATATACGATGGAAAAGTGATTATTCAAAATAGCTTAACCAGAAAACTTCAGAGATGATTACAAAGTTTGTATAAAAATTTATCATGATATACACGGTAAAATAGTTTATCACTCACTATATTGCTAACAATGATAACCGTATTATCGTACGTAATTACAAAAATTATGGGAGCGAATAATTACAATAATAAAATTTATTAATGTTTAAATGGGATGAAATATTAAAATTCTTGGAAAATTAAATTTTTTGTCCTTAACGACGTAAAATCAATTTTTTAATTATGTTATTTTTTATTTGGGATATACTCTGAAATTAGTTTCTTCTAATTATGGATTAGCATAGTTTAAACTATTTATATACTTCATGTACTTCATGTACTTTATAGTTTATATATACTGTACATATTTTTTTATTTTAATTTCAGTTGATGGTTTGTGAAATTTGATGATATAAAGTTGAAATTATCAATATTGTAAATCAATAATAAGAAATGACGTTTATTTTTCGAAATAATACTTACATTTATGCGTACGAACTTGATGTATATATGATAACTCCGCAATTTATAAAGTTTCTAAAGCTTCGTCAATAAATTCTAAGAAATAATGTCTTTCATTTAAAATAAATGATAAAAAATCTTATATAGACAATGTTTGTCTTGACTAAAAGTGAGTGAATTATCCCGATGTAAAATTTATCACATTATAGTTGTACCGATCGTCTAGTTCCCTTGTAATGATAAAAAATTATCTTTATCAAATTTTAAGTTTAATAATAATATGTTTTAGAGATACTACATTTAATAAGTTATCACATTATATAATAATAATATAGTACAACCTTTCATCCGCATGAGTCATTACAAACAGTGATATCATTATAATATAAATTAAGACCTCTTTATCTCTTATTATGCTTTAACACATCTTTTATTATTTATATATACACGTAAATTTTCACAAAATTTTGTTATCAGCAATTCGAAAAATGAATTTAATGAATATAAGTAATTTAGTAATTCTTTCTTTAAATAAATAACATTTTTAAGAATTTAACAAATATAATAAATTTAGTAATTAGAAGAATGTTAATAATTTGAAAATATTTCCTTTAACTACAAGGATTGCAGAAATCGTATTAATGGCTAATTTTATTACTATTTTATTCTAAGATTATTAATAATTTACGTAATAAATTTATTTGCAACATGCCTTCTTCTAATAATAAAAATTATACAGCTCATTTATATTTAGTAATAAATTTTATTATTATAACAAGATGTATGATTATACCATTAGTATACTTTGTCGATATTGTTACATATTACGTCTTTTACATAAGAATTTCAAGAATGTTCATTTATTTCTAAAGTTTGCGATTACGGATTTTAAATTAATGAAAAATTTATAATAATAAACCGGCAGTGCTTAAAATTTCATTTTAATTATGTATTATACTGTTAATGTTTATGAAGCAGGAATGAAAATAATATGGAAATTTTATTATGATATTTAGAAAATTTCTAAGTATTTGAATGAGTTATTTATTTATGGGTTATTTATTATAGCAGTAGAATAATAATTATTACAAACAAGTTTAAGTATTAATTATGGTTTAATTAAAATTAGATAATTTTTTTCTATAATTTGGAAGAGTAAAAATCCTTTGTTTAATATTACTATTGGTAAAATATGATGAATAGAATATTTAGGTACTTTGATAGAAAAGTATAAATCAATTTATAAAATTTTAAAAAATGATGTGAGTGCTTATTTTTATATATGTAAAAAAAATTTATATAATTTTTATGCATCACGTGAATTGTAAATTTTTCGGTTCACTATATTAAAATTGAAGCCATAAATATCTTTGTCTGGATATTTTCTAAGTCCGCTTGAATATGTCTTAGAGTGAGTAATATTAAATCATAATTAACCAAGTAACCAAACGAAATAGTTTAATTAAATTAGCTTATCTTAGAAAACAGTTGGAATAATATTCGCTCACAAAACATGATCATATTATTCATACCATAATGACATAATCTATTTAAAAGTATGAAGAATGTTCGTATAATAACTTTAATTTTAAAATGACTCATATTCCATTCCTGTCTTTCAAAATATTTCCTTTAATATTAAGCGATTTAGATGATTTTATAAAGATTGAAGATAAAATTTCAATGTAGACCATTTCACGTAAAAGGAATTAGTACAAATCTGTCATCAAGTGATAAGTATTCCATCTTCTAAAATATATAATATTCATTATAATGTCAAAAAATTATGGATGCTAATTTTAAGAGCGAAAAAATACTATATTCATTATCTTACCGTAATAGATAACGAAAAAATGATGTAAAATATGGAAACTTTAATAATAACATATATAAATTATTTTTAAAAGTTCGATAAAAATTTAATATATTGTATTTATAATTCATATTAAAACACAAAATTAAATGATATTTATTATAAATACGTAAAAAATCAATGTAATATAATTAAAAAAGTTAACTTCTGTGGATAAAATTAACCTTATAATTGATTTAACTAGTTTTAATACGTTTTCCTGCTTTAAATATTTTAAAATTTGAATAATATTAGCATTAATAAAATAAAATAAAATAAAATAAACATCATCAACGAAGCTAAATAAATATTTACCACTATCGTCTTGGATTTCATCTTCAGTGTTTCGCTTTTTTAATGAGGTTGAAGAATTTTGAATTGTTATATTTTGTGGTAAGCTAAATTACAAATTAATATCAATTAATCAATACATAGTTTAGTAAATCATTCAAAGTATAATTGTGAATACCTTATATCAAGCTCATTTTCTTTCGAAATATAATTATAATCATAATCTAATGAAAATAATATGTATTTTAAAGATTACTGTATATAAAATACTTAATTACAAATTAATTTTTTTATAGTAATACCTTGGTTATTACCAAATGAAATTGTTGATGATGAATTTGTAGATAAACATTTAGAAATTAAAGCACTTAATGCTTGTATAAATGGCTTCTGGGTGATATTTTTTAGCAAATTGCGGACCAATCTTCTTTGATTCTATCAGTTTTTCTCTTTTTGCTTCAGCTTGAACAAATTCTTCTTTGTTTTTACCTTTATCAGACCAATTATAAATAGTTAAACAAATTTCTTTTATTGGTGGTCTTTTTTTTGGATCAGGATTCCAACAACTTTTCATTAAATTAGCATAACATTTTGGTGTATCTTCTGTAATTTTGGGTCGTTCTCCATCAAGGATTTTATAAATAAGATGAATATCATGTTCAACATTAGCAAAAGGTTTACATCCTGTTGTAAGTTCCCACATAATCATACCAAAACTATAAATATCAGCCTCTTTAGAAAATGCAGCCCCTTTAAATATTTCTGGTGCAATGTAAGGTATAACCCCATATATTTCATTATTTGGTGATTCACTATTTTCAGATTGTGCTAATCCCAGATCTCCAATTTTCCAATTATTTGCTGAGAATATATTTCCGCTATGGAAATCTCGATGTATAAATTTATTATCATGAATATATTTAAGTCTAAACAAAAAAAAAGTTAATTACTAAAATTTTAAGAATATAATGAGCACATTTAAAATATAAATACCCTTTTGAAATATCCTGTAAAATTTCTAGTTTGTTATTTTTCAAATAATTATACCAATTATTCAAACTATTAAACCACTTAAAATCTGTAAATTTCCGTTGTAATTTCTTATGTAAATCTCCTCCTGACGCATATTCCATGACTAAAATATAATCATCTGATTCAGGATCTTTTGCAAAACCATAAACTTCAATTAGAAGTGGTTCATTTTTACAAAGTTGATTTGATTTTAACTATTAAATTTAAAGATTTAATTAAGGCAGGATTAAAGACTAAATTAATTAGTAAAAATCACTCACAGAAATATTTAAAAATACTCACCTCGTTTAAGAAATATTGATTATTATTTTTAGAATTTTCAAATCTTTTTAAAATGACATCTATATATGAATTAGTACGATCTGATCTGTCCCAATCTGCTTTATATATAATACCATATCCCCCTTTTGTCATTTCTCTTATATTATTAAATTGAGAATAAGGTATCCACTTAACTGATTTTACACTACGTTCTTTATTAAAAATATTTAAAATAGAATATAATAGAGTTTCTGGTACAAAATATTTATCAATTGAGTTTGCAATATGATCAAAATCTAAGTAGTTGTTAATATCATTAAGAAGAGAAAAAACGAGATCTCTATCTACATTACTGTATATAATGAGTGATATTCTTTTACATTTTCTTCATTGAGTTGGCGTGTAAGTCCAAAAACAATGTTTGTTGTTAAACAATATCTGCATCCAATATAAGATATAAAACAAGTCTTACAATATTTTTGACTATCTGATGTAATCATTAATCTTGTCGAACAATTTATACAAGAATAACTATTGCACCACCATGGTAAGTAAAGAATTGAAATTTGTTTTTTAACCAAGGTTGATTCTACACATTTAAAAAAAATTCGACAACAATCTGAGCATCGTCTTATAGTACGTTTATCTAGTGACTTTCCACATAATTTACTATTAAAATCATTGATATTACTAAGATAACCATTACTTAAATATCCTTCTATTTGTTTAAAACTTAAAATTTTCAAACAATTTCTACAGCATTCTAGAATACTTTGTGGTACTTTTGTCTTACTTATCTCATGTTTATTACATCCCAAGTCCATTATGGCCCCTGAATACGAAGATATCACATTAATATAACTGTTTCGTACACTTTGGGAATAATTTCTCTAAGTAACATAAGTGTAACCATGTACACTTTGGCCATTTTGATACTAGTAAACATAGTAGATATCACATCAATTATCACGACGAGGTTCCAATCATCACATTCAGGGGTCCTTTCATCACCTTTATGCATTTTACTCTTCGATAAAGTATTTCTAAATTTAAAATGAACTTTCTATAATAATTCAAAATTCCATATACTTTCTGTATCACTAACAGAATGTTCTATCTTTTCAAACTGTATCATTCAGATATAAATAAATATATACTAAATAAATGTCAATAAAATACGTTCAAATTTTCCAAATTAAATTTATTTCTTCTAATGGATATGATATAAATTGTATTTTTTGTTGAAAAAAATATATTAAATCGCTTTTTTGTCTGATCAAAAATATTGCAAAAAGGGTTTATCGCGTTGTATTAATAATATTACTGATAATAATATATATTACACAATGGACTAGGTGATGAAGCAGAAGCAGGAGTGCATAGTGCATGGTTGGCTATGTATGTGGTTCAGGGACGATGATTTTTTGTGATCACAGAATTTCACAGAAAATCACAAAATTTGGCTATAAAAATGTTGATAATTTTCAAGTTTTTGGCCTGATTTAGGATTTGAAATTATTATAATTCCGGCAGACACTAAATTTGGCCAGAATTTACGAATCGTAATGTTGGCCAACCTTGCATAATTCTGGCCAAATCACAAAATTTCACAAAATTTACTTTTACCACACACAAAATTTACTTTATACCGCCGCAAAAAATCATCGTCCCTGATGTGGTTAAACATCACATGTGACAAGTCACGTGACAATATATACGTGACACAATAGATCGGTCCAGGCTTTTCCTTATTTAATAATAAACAATATAGATCTGTATGATACGCGAGTGATATTTAACAAAACCCAAGATATAAGATATAAATTCATACACTGACTACATGTTACCCATGAATTACTTACTTAATTAGTTGAGATGCATAAGATCAACTAGCGGAAATATTTCTTGCTTAAGTATCAGGCGTAAAAATATTTCGTCATAGAAGGTAATAATGGAAACAAAAAATGTTACACGAATTAAGAATCATGGAAAAGCGAAGGAAATCAATACTAGAACAACGAAAATTTGAACAATAATGGATAAAAAGAATTTTCTATTTTATCCGAATATGAAATAAGGTCGAAAAATAATTTTGTACGATACGTGTAAAATTTTTTCACGCAAAAGATCGTCTTAATAAATACTGAATATTCAATACTGTAAAATCTTGTAAGTTAAAAAGGATAAATACCAATTCTTACTAAGCAACACATTTAAGGGGTAGAATATTCTGTATTCCCCTTTACCTTTGGTTACTGAAAGTAAGTTTAATATTTGTTATTATAAAAGTAAGTTAATTATGTACTAGTGCGGACACTCTAATTTACTTATAATAGATATTTAGAATAAGTACATAAATTTATTTCATTTAATTTATTTAAAGAATAAATGTATCTTGCCCCTGTATGCTTAAATCTCGCATTTTGTAACAAAAATTTGTAAAATAATATACAACTTTTTTAAAAAATCATACGGTATATGCATTTTTGCCTGCCCTGCAAGTTTACTTAAAGCACTAAAGATGGTTTTGAATGTCATTTTGACTTATTTGACAATTTTTTTTTGGTTTTTTTCCGTTAAATCACATGACGTATTTAATTCTGGCCAGAATTAAACGATCGGCATAAAAATCCTTTTTGGGATAAAGGCGATTAAGATTTAAGAAGCACGTGAAACAAATTTGTGAGCCGTAATGTGTGTCAAATTGTCAATTGTCAAGCCTCATTGTTACGTAACAAATCACAAAACAGAGAAAATTTTCTTTTACATAATATTTAAACTTCTAAAATTCATTAAGTAGATATTTTGATTTTTTCAACAAATTGCTCTTGAATTATACCTAATTTTATCTCTATCATAATTTTTTGTTATTTAATCTTATTGCTTCATTTTTTTTCGTTTTTTGTACTGTAAATTGGATAGTAGATATTGTATTAAGAAAATATTTGATACAATATATTTCTCTTTAATTGAATATAATATATAGTGTGCAAAAAAAAAATACAATTAATTATTAGATTTTAATAGTTTATTAATATTCTGTACCCCATGCCTTTTGTATCACTACACCACGAATATATATTTGGTAAAAATTGTGCAGCAAAGGCTAGGGTTTTCTATGGCCGTGTTTTTTCTTTCGCAATATACGAAGGATTATTTTTTTTATTTTGTAATTTATTTAGACTATTTTAGATAATATATTTATATAATCATGTTATCACATTTTATATTTCGTATATGTGTATAAATATTTGCATAACCTAATAAAGAATTCAGCTTAACAAGATTATAAATAAAAATAAAAATAAGGATTTTTGTATAGTGTAATCACTTTATTTTGGCTTATTTTGATATGCGGATAACATTAAAAGGTATAGACATTTTATTTTTTACTAAAATGAAATAATCAATTTTATTAGAGAAAATAAAGAACTCTAAAAGCTATTATTGAATAATTTTTATATAAAAATATTCTTGGTTAGAGGTTTCGGGTAAACTATATAAATTTGATATACCAAATTGTTAGTATAGTTAAATTTTATTTCTTATTAATTAAATGATGGTAATACTAATTGATTGTAAAATTCGTGAAATGATAAACTGCGTATTATGACGATTAGTTTATCAGTATCTATAATCGGTTATCGTAATTATTTTTTTCATATAAAAAAAGAAAAAAGTATGCAAAAGAGAGCCCAGTGCAGGAATTGAACCCGCGTTTCCACGATTCACCTTTGAAAATTTATATTTAATAAGTTGTGGCGTTCTAACCAACTGAACTAACCGGGCGATTAGTTTGTTTAACACCTCATTTTATTATTGATATACAGAAAAATAAACACAAAATTGGATACCATTTCATAATTTTAATCTTTTTTATATATAAAAAAAAGAGTATGCAAAAAGAGAGCCCAGTGCAGGAATTGAACCCGCGTTTTCACGATTCACCTTTGAAAATTTATATTTTAATAAGTTGTGGCGTTCTAACCAACTGAACTAACTGGGCAATTAATTTATTCAACACCTTATTTTATTAATTATATAGAGAAAAATAAACCGCATATGATGCAATGTTAATAACTTTACGCATCTGATGACCTGATATGAGCGAAACTACTGCAGGAACATACATGATAAAAAAGTTATTATTACTTCAGAATCCAGATAGATGCAATCTTAATTATATAATATGACTCGTGAATATGATTCTTCTATAAATGATCATTTGCACCGCTCCTTTCTTACTGATTTAGTATATACTGAGCAAGAAAATGTTACTATTACATAGAGTATATCGATTATTAGAACATGTGACAAATTATTACTCATGATATGTTCTGGGATTTCAAAAAAAAATTATTAGATCAATGATCTTCGTGCTTTACTGCATCTGCGGCCAAACTTTGCACAAACTGTTACATCATATAATTGGGTTGATGGCGTAATTTAAGAAACTCAAATTTTTTCTCAACCTATAATACTAGCCAGGCGTTGCCCCGGTTTACTATAATATTTTAGTGTTAATTTGTTAAAACAATATAGTTTGTTATAATATAAAAGATTAAATTCTCGATTTTTCACGTGATCAGCGTATTGTGTCACCTCTTCTGCGGGGGATCACCTTATCCACCACGTGATGGCACGTGATCGCGACACATGGACACATGGTTCATTGATTTATAAGGCGTAAATTTTGTGTGAAAGTTTGTGGAATATATGTATATATTTTTTGAACAATCAAATACGATGATAAATATTCTTATTTTTAGCTCTAATGTTTGCATATAAAGTGAATTTATACTATTTCTAGTGATTAATCGAACAACGAAAATTCTAATAAAGAATTCTATTTATTCTATTTATTCCTTTCATAAGAAAATATTGTCAAATCACCTAAATCCTATCGGAGTATAAGACCGTTTACGTATGCTTATAAGCTTATAAAAAATACTTCCTTTTTTTTCAATTGGAATATTTCTTTTCCAAATTTTAAAATTTCATTATGGCCAACATTCGTTATGAATTAATTTTTAGTACATTAAATAAATCAAAATCATTAATAGATTTAAATATTCACAATAATTTAGAAAAGAAATATGAATACATAAAACAAATTATCCTTAATGATGAAGAAATTCTTACGAAAGATGAAAAGTTAGAAGCAATAAAATTATTAAGTAATACATTTGACAAAGATAAAATTCTTTATAATGAAGGAACAAAAAGAATTTGTGAAAATTGTCAAAAAGAATGTTTGGCCATATCATATTGTGAATATTGTATTAGAAATTATTTAAAAGAAAATTTTTCAAATTGGACTTCCGAAAATGTAGGTATTGATAATTTGATACGAAAATGTCAAATGGAATCATATGTTCCTAATAGGATAATAGAATGGATTCCATATAATAGTTTACAAAATACTAAATATTTAACTGAAGGTGGTTACTCCAAAATTTATACGGCGGACTGGATTGATGGAGAATATTTTCAATGGAATAATCAAGAACGAAAATTAAAAAGATTTGGAAAGCAAGAAGTAATACTTAAAAGATTGGAAAATGGTGAAAGCACTAACAGAAATTGGTTTGATGAGGTAAGAATTTTAACTTGATCAAGGGTGTTTATAAGAGTATAGGAGGTTTTACAGTACTCGTTCATAGTACCCCAAGAAAAATTTAACTACGCATAAATATTTTTCGTGTAACATCATCAGATTCGCACGCCGCTTTTTTTAAAAAAGAGTAAACTTTTTTTTTAAGCGACCTTAAAGTACTACTAGGAAAAGGATTCATTTAGGAAAATGATTTTTTTTAATAAAGAATGTTGTGAAACATTTTTTTATTTGTAATTTCCCTTTCCCAAACTTAAATAAAATGGTTAATCACAATCCGCTTAATTAACAAAGAATTTTAACCTCTTAAATTTTTATAACTTTGTACTAGAGTTTGGAACCGGTTCTATTTTCGAAAACCGAATTTAAAACGGGTGCAACCGGTTTAATCTGTTTCAAACCGGTTTCGCGATTGAAACCGAATAACCGATTAATTCTGGCCAGAATTAAATGTGACAAATGACAAAAGTTCGGAGTCGGAAAATGTTTAAGATAATTATAATCTTATATTAATTTTATATTTGTAGGTTAAATCTCATCTAACTTTAAGCAACAAATGGTCCGGCGTAGTAAAATGTTACGGTTTAACAAAAGATCCATCCGATGGAAATTATATGCTCGTAATACAACAAATGAATATGGATTTAAGAGAATATTTACAACAAAATCGTAACCTTACATGGAAAGAAAAAATTGATATTATTTTTTATATAATTAATGCACTTTCTCAAATTCATAATGAGAATGCAATTCATAGAGATTTACATTCTGGAAATATATTATTTTCCCAACTTAATCAAGAATTTTATATCAGTGATCTTGGATTTTGTGGACCAGCCGACAAAAAATTAGATAATATATACGGGAATCTATCTTATGTAGCTCCAGAAGTTATTTTTAAAAAAGAAACCAATTTCGCATCTGATATTTATAGTATTGCAATTTTAATGTGGGAAATTTCGTCCGGGCAATCACCTTTTATTAATTACGCTCGTGATTACTATTTAGCAACGGAAATAATGAATGGGATGAGACCGAAAATAATGTCAAGTACACCTCTAGAATATAAAAAATTAATGGAGCAATGTTGGCACGCTGATCCAACAAAAAGACCTGATATCAATAGTCTTCATAATAAAATTTTTGAAATAAGAAAATTATATTATCAAAATAATCAATACGAAAATAATAAGCAACATCAAACATGTAACGATAATATAGTTACAAGTAGTAATTATACAAGCGCTACTAGTATTTATTCATCAGATAACAATTCTAGTAAATTCGGAAATTTACTTGAAATAAGAACTGTTACCGAAGGTAAGATATCAGTCTGTATATTATTTTTAATTTATACTTTTTGATACTAAATTTTAATTAAACATTCTTTATATTATTTAGCTCATCGTAGTCAGGATAATTTTAGCATTCCGAACAGTAAGTAATTAATTTATAAATGAGTATATTAACTATAAATGAAACATAATTTATCTAATTCAAATAATTTTATCTTGTTTAGAAATTGAAGATATCGGGAATAATTCACTATCTAGTAAAAATAATTAAGGATGACATATATCATATAGTTCCAGCACCACTACAAGAAAGATTTCATAGAAAAAATCAAAAAAACATTGTATATGGCACGTTCATCATGTATTATAATTTTCAAATTTAAACCATTTTATTAGAAATTAAATGAATGGGGTTTGTTAACCTTTTCTTTATGTTTTGTCCTTTAGGAAGATGTGTTATTTGAAAAATGAAAGCTTATTTAGTTTAAAAATTTCGTGCTGTATAACATAAAAAATATATTTTGACAAATGTTCTTTGCGTTTTCTAACAATTTTCTAACAATTTTCACTTTCTTTAGTTTCTATTGAACAAAGTTGGAGAGTTTAGTTTCTACGATTTTTGTTTTCATTTTTTTTGCGTACATATCGCTTCTCAACTTTTTTTCCCATCTTTCAATAGGAGAAAATAGGAAAGCAAATAGAAGATAAAGCTGGAAAAAATAAGAAGCTTAATAAATAAATTATCTCGCGTCGGCACTACGAAGTTCTATACTGGCCTGCCGGCTATCTACTATTGGAATTTTGGAATTTTCAATTTTTTCGAGTGTTACTGATTTATTGCCATACAAAATGATCGTTCTGTATTTCTTATATATTTTATGTCTTATTATTTGTTTTGAGTCATCAGTTCTTGTCTTTAATCTTAATAATGAAAATAAAAATAAAATGTCTTATTATTTTTCTGTTGTTATAATTATTATAGAAATTATATTTTATTATTTCTTTATATTATATTACTATTAGTCTATTATTTAGCTATTTTATTGATTATCAAACATTTTATATAAATATCTTTTGTATTTATTCATGTAAGAGGTCAAGTTCTTGTATAATTAATTATAATATTGAATTTAATAAAGTAAAACCTTTAACATGAAAATTAAACTTCTTGTTGTTAAATATGAATAAAAGTGCTTTACTACTTCACTATAAAATATATGTTAAGCGCGTGAATTAAATGTTATGCATCGATAAAATTAGTAATAACTGTGTCACCAATGTGGCTTTGTAAGAGTTACATTAACTATTTTTCTTGAATATGCTTATTTATTTTTAGAAAAATGCAAGTTACAATTCAATATTTGTTCATTTTAATTAATGTAACATGTGGCGCGGTCAGGCTCAGCAGAAAGTTTGTCGAGTCACTGTATATGTTTTTTCATTTATAACCCGATTTGGAACATTAACAGAATAAATTGTTTAATGAAATATGTTTTGTCACCTGATTCAATTTATATAAGTGTGACTTATCTGACTAATGTGAGAAAAAAAGTAAACCGTATTTATACTTTTTTTTTAAATTTTTTTTTACAAATTAGATCTTCTATGAGGGAAACCAAAACTTTCTTATATATACATATATCTACATCTTGTGATTAATGCTGGATTATATATATACAGCTTGTCAGCTTGATTTGGAAATATGACGAGGTTATATTTGGAATGGACTTACACAAAATCTTTAAGAACTGAACACTTTGACAATTTGTTTACTTTCTAAGAAAATAAACATTTAAGTTCACGTTCAATCACAATTTTAATTTTAATAAAATTAAAAATTATATTTTTTTCAATTAAATCTTTCATGAATCTAAGCAATTTAGTTAATCTGATAATGAAAAAAAAAATAAATTTTGTATCCTTACTAGGGATGGCAACGGTCGGTCATGGTCGGTCATCGGTCGGTCATAACCGGTCAAGAACCTTTGACCGACCGACCGACCGTTTGACCGACCATTTGACCGACTGGTTAACCGATCCTGAAAACGTTTGCGAAACGTAATTTAATTGAAATACTTAATAAAAAACGTTTTCGCAACGTTTTCTATTAAAATAATTAAAAAAACGTTTGTGAAACATTTTTTTTATTAAATTACGTTTTGCAAACGTTTTCAGGATCGGTTAAACGGTCGGTCAAACGGTCGGTCAGAGGTCTTTGACCGACCGATATCGGTTACGGTCATGACCGGTCATAACCGGTTAATGACCGTGACCGTTGCCATCCCTAATCCTTACAAGAAAGAAATTCTTGACTTAGATAATTTTAAAATTATAATCATATTACTGCCTATTTCAGTTAGTTACAAATTATAGAATTAATCAATAAAATTTTTTTCCCCAGAAATCTTGTGCCATATTGCTCGTCCTTATTTATAAATGGTCTTTTATTTTTATAAATATAATTTGTACCACATTAATATCAACAATTTTGGTAGTTACCTCAGTCATAAGAAAAATACAAATCTAAGGAACTATCATGTCAAAGTAATTACCGCAGCTGATCGATCAAGGAAAAGGAATTTTTTTTTTTACTATTTTGTATGTATAATTAGAAAAAAAAATGATTTTTTTTACGTAAAATTTGATGATAATAAGCGAATTTCTAATCAAGCTGCAACAAATACAATTTCAAAATGAAACTATAAGGAAATAATTTTAAACTTTTTAATTTTTTTTTTTTTTTTATTAAAAAAATAAAGTATTGTAACAATTAATTTTTATAAAGATGTAAGCTAAAAGTTGTATAATAAATTCATAGAGAATATAGTATTTGTGTATTATAATATGTTCTTATTATTGGGAATTTTTTTTAAGGTAATTACAAATTTATCTATCCTATGTACTGATATTTATGCACTGTCACGTTTAGCTATTTATTGTGTAACATTGGTAGTTAAAACATGTGATCCCTTTGATGCTGCGGTCGATCTAAAGAAGCAAGGCCCTTAAAATATTTTTGAGAGAATTTAATAAAAACATAAAATATTTTTAATCATTTTCCTTCAGTAAGTTTTATAATTACATACAATTACAACATTTCTGTAGTATACACTTTCAAAGGTTCATAAATTAAAAATATTAAAAATATTAGAAATTAATTCTTCCATATTTTCAAATAATAAAAGATTTTGAAATGGTTGCTTATCATTATTTGAGATAAATTAAAAATTAATATAAATATAAAAAGATTTTAATGTGATTTGAATTCAATAATAAAACTCTTAATCTTATTCGTAAAATTATCAGTATTTCCATTGGTCAGAAAATCATTATTATTAATTATCTATTTTTTTTTATTTTTATTTTTGTATTTTAATTTAGTAATTTTAAATTTTAAAATTTTAAAAAAAGAATATATATGTGATAATTTTTGATTATTAAGCAAAAGAATACTTATTAAAATAACAATACCATAAAATTCTATAAAAATTATGATACTGCAAACCTAAATATTCTTACTATATTATAATATTGGGAAATATTAAGAAAGTAAAAAAAGTAAAATATATATAGATTAACTAAATATACCTAATAAAAATAATCTGAAACATAATCTTGGGACAACTCCTGGTAAATAGTTAACATCATTGTAAGAAGTTTGACGATAAAAAATGTGCTAGAGACGGCACAACAGAAGCTTATAATGAAAATTTGATTAGAGTCTATAATGTAATGGTAGGACGGTCATGTTGAAACATCTTGAAGAATAATTTTCTTCTTGTTTATAGATTTTATCAGAAGGCAAATTAGGAATTAGGTTTGAATCCATATCTAATGATATCTTTTAGTTTCTAGTTATAAAGTATTGATATTTATTAAAACTCCCTATTTTTATTAATACTGCTATTAGGAGTATTAACAAATTATTGCATAAGCTACAAAGATGTTTTTTAAAGTTTAAACTTTCTATTAAAAACAAATTATACTAACAGAAATTGCATGTGAAATCTTACAAGTTATGACCATGATAAAGAGAAATAAAACTCATAATAATTAGTTATGACGTAAAAGGTTTTTGATTTGAGATGATTTAACAAATTTATAAGCCCGATAGGATACAAACCTAATCAGATTGTATGTTCATGTTCTTTTTTTTTTAGAATACATTTTTTATAATTTATTAATAATGCCTACCATTTTATCTCTCCTCCTGAAGAATTTACTAGATTGCTGGTGTTACTTTAAGATGATTACTATAAACAAAATTTTATTGGAAAGAAGGTATTCTGTTTATGGTCATGAGTAGATATTCTCTTTAAAAATGCAACATAGCTTATATAGTTATATCCATCATTAGGTATAAAGGAAAGAATTATTAATCCTTAAAAAAGAAAAGTTTAGTCAAAGATAATGACATATATTTTACTAAAATAGAAATTATTGAGTAACAACTTTTCATATTGAGTTCAAAATTACATATACTTCATCACATTGCATCAAAATTACGCCTATGATGAAGATTACAATATAAAAGCTTAAATTAACTTATTTTGATTTTTCATTTTACATGTCTTACATTTCATTAAAAACAAATAAAATGCCTCATCAACTTACTTATGATTGTCTCGTTGATATATTTGAATATTTATATGATGATGAAAATACCTTATATTGGGTCAAAATTAGTAAAATATAATATAAAAAAAAGCAGTTTTGGTGTTTCGTTTACTATGTAATACATTTGTTTAAAAAATATCATCAAAAGAAGTATAATTTATTGATGTCAATCATTATAAAAAATGACAGTTTGCTAGTAATTTTTTAGATCCATTGCTATAACTATATCTTTTAAGAATAATAATGAGTTAATAGTTTCTTGATCATTAAAGGATGTTAGTTTCAGTTTCTCATGATGTATTTTCTAGTGTAACATATATATTGAGGAATTAATAATTGTTGTAAAATATTTTCATATTAAAACATAAATTCATATAAAATATGGATCATTTTAATTCTGACCAAATTTACAGTTTTATCAGAATTAATGAAGTCATGAATAATAGTTAATCGGCCATAATTATTATTCATTTTAATATAATATTTCGCAAATTTCAATAAAATAGGCTTAAATGTACTAGTTTCTTTAAGGGTTGTTTTTTTCTTTTGTTTAATAATAAAAAATTATTACAAGTATATTCTCTTTTATACAAAAAAAACAGCTATTTTAGGAGTGGTGTCTTAGTATTTAGTATTTATAGACATAAATAGATTTCTGAAGTGCAGAAGAGAACATAAAACTAATTCATCCCTATAAAAAAAAAAATTCTTTAAAATGTACTTAAAATATACTTATATATTTTAAAATATACCTAAAATATACTTAACATTTTAAAATATACTTAAAATATACTTAAAATTGCAATTTTAAGTATATTTAAAGTATAAAATTTTGCACTTAAATTATACTTAAATTATATTTAAATTGCAATTAAGTATATTTTAAATGTAATTTAAGTATAAAATTTTATACTTTAAATATACTTAAAATTGCAATTTTAAGTATATTATAAGTACATTTAAAAATTTTAAGTACATTTTAGATATATTTTAAAATATATAAGTACATTTTAAGTATATTTTAAAGAAATTTTTTTTCATAGGGGCATATTTGATAAAAATTGTCTATCTGCTAGTTTCGAATTTACTTACTTCAAACTCACTTCTCTCTCTCTCTCTCTCATAAAGTAAGTATAAAAAGAAATCGACTAAACACATTTTGGTTTCCTAAGGAGTTGTATATCAACAACAATTTCTTATTTGGTGCCATATGAAATGCAAGAAAATTATTAATCAAATCTTTCAGGTAATATTATACTTTTAAAAGAAAATCTTCCGAAGTTTATATGATAAAATCTAATTATGGGATAAATCTACGAAGGGTTCTTTCCATAACTATTATTTTTCTCTTATTCTTCTTTTTAATTAATCTTGTTGAATAAAAGGAAACACCATTTAATCAAATTGTCCCATATATCAATTTCGTCCAATGATAAATCATCTCGTTTTAAAAGTAATTCTAATAAAGGTACCTCTAAATTAATAAATTTATCAGATTTAAATAATATGGTCCAGACAATAATCCATAAATCTTTAAAAATCTCATGTTTATAGATTGTTTCAAAAATTTCTACAGCATATTGTTGTAAAAGTTTATGTATATATCGTAAAATATTTGATAATGCTTACCACCCGTAGGCCGTAGATAATGACGCCATAACCTTCGCCAGTTTCAAGTAAATTTTCTAAATCGTTAATAACTTCTTGAGAATATCCGAAAGACATTTTCCTTGCAATAATACAATAATAAGAGTAAATTATAAAATAATAAACAAAAATAACCGGGAATAACAGGTATAAATACAAATCGGTACACTCTTATATAAAAAAAATATTTGGCGAATCAGCCGAATCACGTGCATATTCAAGAGTTCAAAAAAGTATATCACGTGATTATCAATTTTTCAAAAATCCAAAAGTAGGGCAAATTTATCCTAACCACAATAAATAATTGTAATTCACACGATCCATACCAAAATCAATTATCTAAAAGCTAACTTACCCGTAAAATGTCCTACATTCCTTACAAATTTAGTCCTGACCTAAGCCTGATTTAAGAATTTTTAGGTTGAGTGAATAATACATGAAAAAGAAATTAAAAAATATATATATTGACATTAATTATTGCCATAAAGAGCATAATTAAGTTTCATTATTATATTGTAGGTATATAAATTGTTCACTTTGAAAAGTATTTGCGATTATAATACAAATAATATGACTATACAATCATTAGATAAAATGGAAAGATCAAATACAATGTCATTGCTTTCCATACCAGAAAAGCCACAACTCATCATTTATCTGAATTAGCCATTATATTATTGTCGGTACTATCCCTTAAATAAATGACTGGTTTTCACTATATATTTCCCACATCAATAACATTGAAAATTTCTTACTAATTTGTTTAATGATATATTTGAATATTTAACATATTTGTTGCGAAATTGCAGTTAGGATTTTATGGAGAAATACTTGGAGCTTTTTTTATAAACCACGTAAATGTTCACTACTTTAATTGCTTGTCTTGGAATCAGAAGAAATTTTGCAATAAAAATGAGATATTATTCCAGTTTCAACTAAGAGACCTCCATTTTTAATTATGCATCATTTATCAAATTTAACTCGTTTTATGAAATTAGAGAAATAATTGCTCATATTCCTAGGTATTGGTATTAAAAATTAATTAATATTTAAAATTCTCTCGCGATGTTATTCATTTATTATCAAAAGAAATATTTTTTGAAACTAAGAGTTTTGGTTATCTTTTTTATTTTCATAAAATCCCCATTATATTTATATTATAAAAAAATTACAAACTTAAAATATTTAACATATGATTAATAAATAAATCTCACTTAAAATATTTTAATAAATTAATCTCACTTAATAAATTATATGCCTTTTATGATGTACAGTATATTATTACTTGAAGCTATAAATATTTGTTTATTTTTCAATAACTGTTCTTGTCGTAATAAAATAAAATTATTTTTCAATAACTTGGAATACTTCATAATCTTCTACATTAAAATCATTATAAGAATAAATATCTGTATTAGGATTTGCTGGTATATCAATTTTAGGATAAGAAAATACATTATAACTTTTCCAAACAGTGTCCTTATATTGAAATAAATCATGTCCATTACCAAAGGTTGGTCCATAATGTCTATTACAATAAACGGAATACCTAAAATATCCATCATTAATATGTCCCACTTTTGCTGTTTGAAGATTTGTTCTATTTGTAAATGAAAATATAAAACTACTTTTTGTAAATTTATACGTATTACTTGTATCCCAATAAAGTGGATTATATCCTCCTACTATTTGTTCAGAATCTGTAATTTTCGCTACAACTAAAGTAGCTCCTTTATTATCACATTTATTATGAAATTCTTCGGCAGTATTACCATCTCTACTAGCACGATAAATTAATTTAAAATAATAAGGATTATTTCTTAAATTATAATAAGAATCAGATTTTTTCTCAATCCATCTAGAAAAAATAACAAAATGTTGAGGTTTAATTATAATTGTATCGTATTTTGGTTTTCTAGGGTTTGGTATATTATCATTAAACTTATTTGTTGACATGTGAAATGAAAGTAAATTATTAATTAAATCTTCGGGTAATAATACTTTAAAAGGATATATTTCTAAACGAAAATCTTCCAAAGAAATATGATGAAATCTAATTAAAGGAACGAATCTTTGAAGAGTTCTTTCTAAAGTTGTGACTTCATCTTTATTCCATTTCTCAATTTCATGTTGAATAGAAGGATGTTGAGCTAAACACCATTTGACTAAGTTGTTCCATATTTCAATTTCATCCAATAATAAATCATCCTGTTTTAAAAGTAATTCCAATAATGGCGCTCTCAACTTAATCAACTTATCAGAATTGAATAATATATCTGGTTTTTCACAAATTGTTTCAATAAAAAAATTCCATAAACTTGTAAAGGTATTATGATGATAAACATGATAAATTGTTTCAAGAATTTCAATAGGATTTAATCGTAAATACTCATATTGATGATTAATCAAATATTCTCGAATACAAGTGATTAATGTTTGAATATTAAGTTCGTCTACTGCCATTAAAAGATCTAATAGTTCCGGTCCTTGTAATTTTGCCAAATCAATTTTTCCACAATAAATAAATCTAAAATTATAATTTTTTTTTTAATAATAAAAAAAAAAAACAGATGATAAAATATAATAATATTAAATTATTTATTCATTACCTTAAAATAATTTCAAATATTTGAGGAGAAATGTTGGGTTGCCTTAGAATAAACATTCCATCCTTTTTATTTGCCCATTCATTAGAGAATGCAGTACGAAAATATTGAGACCTAATACATAAAATAAGTGAGTGTGCACGAATTTCTTTTACATTTTCTTCTTCACCAGTGTAAATAATAACATCACATCCTTTATCATTTTCAAGTAATTTTTCATAATCATCAATAAGTTCTTGAGAATAATCAAAAGACATTTTACAAACAACAAAACAACAAAATAAAAAAATTTTTTTTTTTTGCAAAAATGAGTAACGTAAGTTAACCATGTGGTCACACTAATTGCTTTAAATGAATATGATCTGCATTTTATTGTAAATTTCCCTTTAGAAATATGTCAATCACATGATAAACTTTCAATTGTATTTCTATATGGGTCGTAAATTATGTAGCTATAATAGTTCAAAAAAAAAAAAAAACACTTGGCTAATAATCGTTAATCAGAAACTTAGTTGCGATAAATAAAGAGAAAATGAGTTTAAATTATCCAATCCGAATAAATGAGACAAAACCATGGAATTTCTCTGGATTTGTCCGGAAGTCAAAAGCGCTTCGTACATAAAGAGTGAGATAAAAAAATAAACAAATGTTTGCAAAAAAATCCACTTTCTTGGATTGATTTTTATAATATATGGTACTTTCAAAAATTTAAGTACGCTATTATCTTGTTAATTTAACGATATTTATTGTGGTTTTCTTTGAGTGAAGTCGATCATTGATCAGAAATTCGGGTTAAAAAATTGATCGTTATTAAAAGTATTTAAAGTTTAATTACAAAGAAATTAAAAAATTTTAAAATTCATTCAAAAATTTACTTCTGAATATTTTGCTATTCCTTATTATATAATGGATTATCCGTTCATCTAGGATCACGCCATGATTAATTTTAAATAATGTGAAATTATTTTAAGATTAAATTTTGTTTCCATGCAATATTTCAGCATTCTATTCTTTGAAAGTTCGTAGTGAATATTGTTTTGCTTTTTTAAGGTGAAAATGATTGTTTTAAAAAAGCCGAGATATTTGTCTTTGCACGTAAAATACACTGACAAGTAAAATCATATAAGAAATAAAATATTTATTATTATTAATAACATTATTTGCTATATAATTTGAACTAGAATAAATGAAAGTATTACGCCAATCGAGGTTAAAAGCAAATTATGGTACTATACTGTATATTACTGTGCATAACATAATTAATATATGTAACATATGTCATACAATAATATTCTTATAACTCTACTCAAATAAAAATTTTGTGTCACTTATATAATTAAAAAGTTTTCTAAACTTTTAAATTTACAAGAATTTGCTATATAAAAATTACCAAAAAAATCATGCATTATCAATAAAATTTTAAAGCAAGTGCAAAGCAGGGATTAACTTCAGGCGTGGCTTAAAAAAAATGAAAATTTTTTATCAATAAAATAAATCTTATATAATGGTTCCCCTGAAGCAGAGGGCAAGCTACAGATGTTGCTCAAACAAAAAGAAGTTTATGACTTTTTTAAATAACCAAAAAATTCTCAAATAAAAATAATTATTTTTTCATGAATTCATTCTGTATGTGGAATATTTACGATCAGTCTATTATTATTTTCCGGCTAGTTTTAATCAGACTATTAACGTCATGGATTTTATGTATAATATTTTATGCATTAAGTAGGTAATTATCTCTAATAATCAAGTCCAATCAGCGGTAAGCCTCAAACAAAAAAAAAAAACTGATTTAGCAAAGCCTAATTGCTGTGCATCTTAGTAAACATCTTTTAGCCCTGCCACACTTTGTCATAAGTAATTTTATACTTATTAACTCTTTTGAGTCTTTTCCCCTTTTATTTCTCTTCCACTTATTGCTTGATTAATATTTTACATATTACACTTTATCATCCTTGAATATTTTCCCTTTGCTATTATGTGCTCATTCCCCTTATTTTAAAAAACTAAATATAATTTTCTCTAGATGTTTTCATTAAAACAACAAAAGCCATACCTATTATTATCAAATATTTTGAGTACTCATGCCTTCTTATAATTTCACACAAATAAGTACATTAATGTAAACTTTTTATAGTATTGTATTCTTAAACCTTAATCAATAATTTTATTATTTACACATTAATTCTTTAAACAATAAAAAATATTCCCTTACATACAATAATATTTGAAGATTATATTTTACATCAATTTATTTGTTGAATTTTTAAAGCAAGAAAATAGCATTATACTCGGTTATGGGCCAGGAAATAATTTTCCCAATACAATAACCAAATTATTGGTTTGTAAATTATCACCCAAAAACTTTTGGAGACAGCTAGAAAATGTTTAACCAAACTATTACCAGTCATTTCATCTCTTTTACTGTTAACTTCAATATTTGTATTCACCTTTCCTTAGTCAACTATTCTATCGGGTTACTGATACGGTATGTTTTGATGCTGGTAATACTAGAACAACTTGTTCCTACCCCTCGTGTCTCTACTGCCGAAGATCTCTTTAGATTGACATCATCATTGGATTCAATCGCACTACTTCATCAACTTTCCACTGGAAATGCAAAAACATATTAAAACCAGTGAAAGGACCATTATGGGCATGGATGCAACCATTTACACAAAGAAAGCTTTGAAATGCACAGAATGCAAATTTCTAATACTGTAAAGGAATCATACTAAATACAAATTCGTATACTGGAACTTCAGAGATTGGATATAATTTCTACATTATTAAATATAGTATATGAATCCTCAAACATCAAATGCAGCATTATCAGTAGTACTGCAGTATCTGCTCATTATTATAAATAGTTACTGTTAGAAAGTAATGGCTAAACATTAATAAAACAGAATTTATATTCATTAAACAACCACCAATATAAAGACAAAATTTAATAATTATAATTTGCCAGGATTGGTAATAGTGGAATATTAATAACACTTTACCAATATCTTTAAATTACTAGAACATAGAACCACTTCTATTTGTTTTTTAATTAGAGACTTTAACATCAATTATAATTAAGTCATCTACCATCTACAATGGGAAAAATATTAATGAACTTCTTTGAGATACATATATTAGAATTATATTTTTAATATAAAATTTCATAAGAGTCTGAAAATATTTTCTCAATACATATCAAAGTCTTCTTACCCAATATTAAAAAGTTCACTTGAGGTTTATGAGTAGGCTTAATATAAATAAACATAATTTACCAATATCATATTTAGTTATTTTGCATTATGTTATTCATTGTAAGATATAGTATAAAAGTTGCAAATATTTAGCATTTTACAGTATTAATAGTATTAATCAATTCCATCCATATTTAAATAATTTAACAGAATTTATTAATATATTTGTATTATCATCAAGAAATTTTTATAATCCAGAATACTGACTATTCTTCCTTTACTAAAAATAGTCAATTTATTGAATTGGTATTATTAAAGAAATATCAGAACTCAAAAGACTCTTAATCAAGATTTATCAATCACTAGAATTATTTATCCTATTCCAAAAGTATCCATTTATATCATTAAGTTCTTTCATCATGTTGCAGAATATATTGTAAAATTAACTAATTTCTAATATTTGGCATGTAATAAAGGTTTACCTATAGAATATCAGGGCATTAAGCAATATATAAAGATTAAGAGGACAATTTTTTTCTCATATAATTCAAGTGGAACTTTACTATCCAAATTAGGAATGGGACCACAAGATTTTAAAATGAAAATTTATCAGTAATTATTCTATTTACAAAGTATTAAGTAATAATGATAAAATCATCAAAATACATATTGGAGATATAATAGAAATTAAAGTAGAAAATGAAGCAATAGTAAATGTAATTTTTTGCAAAACATATCCTTTCAAATTATGATTGATTTGAAAAGGTTAAAGGAAGAAATAGTTTTGATACTTTAATGACATGTAAAAGTACAAAGTATTTTTCTTGGATTGTTATTTGAAAAAAATTAACAGAATATCAACTGGAAAGAAATCTGCTGAAAACAAAACCTGTCATAATTTTTTCAATACTAAATAGAGATACTAGAAACATATATGGCTCAACAAATACTTATGTATATATATAGAAATAGAAAAATATTTTGATATTTCCCTATTTCTTAAATTTATTCAACTTTATCACCAATTACAAAGAATTACTAAGACAAGCATTAAATTATACTTATTACTGCATTCTACATTAATAAATATGTAATCCTCAATTTTATCACTATATTCTTCAAAAAACATAAAAATATCAAAGGAGATCATAACTGGCTGCTTCCATTCTATTCATATAAAGAAGAGTATAGGGTATGTAAATATTTTGGACACCCATTTAAGAAATGCCAAACATCATTTCTTCATTCTGAGAAAATTGTCATTTATATATTCCTGATAAAAATCTGTCATCATAAAAAGTTGAGCAAATGTGCTGATTTGTGTTAAAGAGGAATTAGAGGAATTGAAGTTTTCAGTTCCATAATTTGCATTTTGATATTGTATTAGTATCTAGAGTACAAGTTGTTTTCTTTTGGCTCTGGACCTGAACCTACAAACAGAAAAAAATCTTTTGATATATTCCATGATAACAATCAGATCTGGGAAAACAAGGATCTGATTGATTGTTACATTGGACTACAATCATCCTTCTGTTGGTGGCATAGGGTAAGTAATATGATAAAACTAGTTTTTGTCTTTTGAATCTCAGATCTCTTAGAAATTTGACTTTTTTCCAACGTCACATTATGGTTTTTTTGCATGAGATTGGTTAATTTTACACATTTTTGAAAATTAAACAAAATATATAAATATTATTAAATTTATATGAAAATTTATATAAAATATATAATGACATAAATATCAATATTACAGACTCTACAAAAAATACAACTCCTGATGTTTATCCTTTTTATTATTTGAATAACAAAAATAGTAAAAATAATAACAAAAATATTATATATTGATATACTACAATTAAAAAGTTAAAGTCTCAAGAATTTCAGACATTATAATGAACTGGAATCATTTTTCAAAAAATATTCAACCATTTTTTATTAACTATTTTAATGGATATTCTTAATATTGATTATACTAATTTAATATGTTAAAATTAAAGCTACAGCTATTCTGGAAATCCTTCTAATGAGTATAAAACTAAATATACTGAATATACTGAATATAAACATATATATATGCCATTATTAGATACACAACACTAAAAAATAATGTGTTTCAAAAATCATAAGATGTGTAATGATGATTGGAAAAACATTAGGACAAGTTATAGAAGACTGGAAAATAGAACTGATTTATCCAATTAATAAGACAATAAGATCAGATTGGAATCAGGATTTAAAATTGATGTGTCCAATTACTTTATTAGAGACTGTGAGAAAAATCTTTCTGAAAGTTTTAGTGAATAGATTAAGTGAAATCTTAACAGAAAATAAAATTTTAACAGTGAGTCAGGGACAAATTACACAGCATTAAAAAATGAAAGTACTTTTGAACCATTAAATATTATCCAAGAAGATGCAAATAAGACAGATGAAGAAGCATGGATTCTTTTGATGGACATCTCAAAAGCATATGACTCATGATGTTTGAAAAAAGTTTAAGAAGAATAAAGCTGCCAGAAAATTTTATTAATATAGTAATGGACATTAAATCATTTTAATAGAGTTTTAGCAAACAATAAGATGACAGAAGAATATTATGTGCAAGATGGTATAGATCAGGGAGGGGTATGGTCACCATTATTAAGGAGAATTTTTTATGATGCTTTATTAATGAGGTTAGAAGAAATAAAAGAAGAGGTACTAGGATATAAAGTGGAGATGAAAAGAATGAAGGATATAAATAAAAAGATAGCAGAAAATCAGTCAATTATTTTTAATGTGACAGCTTTTATAGTACCCTAGCCATGGCGAAAAAAAAGTAGCAGTCACGTGATATCAATCCACGATCACTGATATGATATTTCTAGCAAAATCTTTTTTTCGTTTAATTTTTTTTCTTTTTTGTTCTATCTTTTTGACAATGTAGAACTTTTTTGATATACAGTATATTTATTTAAATAGCAGCATATTTTACAGATATAATTCTTTCAGTTGTTTTTTATGTTATTTTATTATTAGGCTATATTCAAATAATAAACAATACTTTAAATTTATTCTATGATAACTTTATTTAACGCAACCAAAAAGCAAGTTTTACTCCATGTACTCTGTTGTGTATGAGCGCCTAGCTACTTTTCACACTCCTCTACAGCTTTGACGATTGGCTTCATAAGAGAATCAAGCTCTTTACAAAATGAGTATTATCTTTCTCTGTTTGATATATGTCAATTCCAAATTAAAGATTTTTTCATACCCTATAAAAATTTTTATCCGAATATTTCCATTATTTCTCCGTGTCTTCCGTAAAAATTCTGTGAAAATGATACATTCACGGATATCCGTGTTAGTGAGATGAAAATTTCCATGATTAATTCCATGAAAATGATACATTCACAGAAAAAACATGGAAAGATAAAACACAGATCAGATTTTTTACAAGGATAGTGAGCCAACTTCACCTCTATTTCATCTTTTGCACTATTTCTTTCTGCTAATTCTATACTCTGCAAATCACTAGAACTTGTGCGGGATTCTTTGATTATATAACCTTCAATAATAATTGAACGCATTAATCAAAAAATAAACGTCTGACATTTAATGGAGTCAGCCTGACTACGTGATACATCAAAAATCAATTTTCAGACATATAATGAGTCATGGATGTGACTGGCTCATGCCATTAGAGCTGCGACCTGCCCGACTCCAAAATGGGTATTATCCGTTTATATAGATATTATTCAAACTTTACTCCTTCCAAAAACAATCTACATGAGGAGGAGCGGCTGGAGCAGCTGAACCCATAATACAATCTCAATATATAATTCAAAATATTAACTGTATCCCCATTATTTATATTTAGTGATCTTTAATTAAATTATCATATTTTAAGTCTTACCTACGAATTTCCTAAAGGACATCCACCAACGCTTTTACCCTTATTCTTATTTGAATGACAGGCTCCATTACATCAACAATAATTGAGTCGTTAGACGCGTCAATTTCGTGTGGGTTCGTTTATGATAACTAAATAAAAGATGCATCAAATAACTTCTCATTTTAATTAGAAACCTGAATAAATTAAATTTTACCTAATACAATAAGAACTTTTAAATATATCCATATATTTAGAGAAAAATTAAAATTTTTTTAAAAAGACCGTTCTGGCATAATTTGAGATCTTATGGTCATCCTCGTGGCCAATTTTTTTCACAATAGCGACATTTAGCTGCAAAATGTCCAGCTGTTGCTAGTAAAGTGCTAAGGATGTCTTAATAAAATGCTCTCAAACAGGATCTTGTGGGTGTCAGCTTTACTTTTAAAGCCTTGAGCTTGTTGAACAGGTTGAAACTTTTTGCTGATAGTTTAAACGCTTCTAATGATTGAACACCAAGAATACAAATGAATAAATCAGAATTATATAAATAAATAACAATATATAGCGTATATTAACGGTCAAAGAAATTATATTTAACTTATAATAACTTATAATAGATNAATAGTTAAGGTAGTCAAGTATTAATAATTATTATATATTGCTTCAGAAGACTTCTTTTTTTTTTTTTACTAATTATGTTATTTTGTAATATTGTATTTTAAACTTATAATGGATCAGAATATGTGTCATATTTCTTGAAGATAGAAAGAAATTATTATTGTTATTGTCGTATATAATCCAAGTGAGGGAGTGCGTGCTCAGGGGTATTGCACTAATTACATGATCAGCGTCGTAAACTTGTGTCTCAAAACCTTCCAACTTTTCCAAAGATCATAGAATTATAAATAATCAAATAATATTTGATTGTCATCATCTTCAATACAACTTATTTAATGGCTTACTTAAAGCATATTGATATTAAGTATTAAAGCAGGATGAATTAAAAAAATAAAATATTTTTTATTATTCATAATTTTTACCATTATTTTATTTACCAAATCTCTTAATTATTTTTATTTATTTTTACTATATTTTAAAGTATTAAATTTTAATAAAACAAATATATTCTGAATATTTTTCATTTCAAATAATTTGCGTCTATGACGAACTATTTTTTAAAAACTATCCATGTATGTCCGATAAATATTCGGAGTGGGGTAATTTTCTGGACACTCGCACGCTATTATACAATATTTGATACAAATTAATACAAGATGCGGAAATTGAGAATTTTTAACCACATAAAAAACGTTCAATATCATGATGAATGTCCAATAAATGTCAAGTAAATGTTGGGGTCGATTTTCCGAACAAAAACGAACAATGTTTGGACAATATTTTTTATAGGGTATATATAATATACAGTATATCAGATTTACAGGTTGTAATATACTTAAGTTGATAATAATATATTTTTTTTTAAAAAAAAAATTTTTAACATCGACATTCAATGCTCTTTATTGAAGTTAATAGTTGAAATAATATATTTCACTATGTAATTATATTATTAAAAAATATAAGTAAAATATATAATTTTTTCATTCCACATAATAATGTATTTTTTGATTTAAGTAATAAATTCTTTTGCTATTTGCAATCCTTGAAATTTAACACACAGTATTCACAAATATCATTCCCAATATATCAATTACTTACATCCCATAGCTGTATTGTATCTTTTTTATGCGGATATTTGATCAAGATCTGCTGTTTTGCTTTTTCCAAGCATTTTTTTGAATCAAAATACAAATACACTATATTACCTATTTTATCCCGATTCCACCATCCAAATAATTCTGACATAAAATGTAATTCCATTATATTTTTATCATTAAATTCTTCAGGTGTATCACTGTAATCTATTTCAAGGACAAACTTATTACGAGGATGATAGTCTCCTTCAGTACATGCATATGTAAAATATTTATATTGACTACCCAAATAGTTATAAAAATGTCTTGATTTTTCATTAGCTGTTAAGTCATAATCACCTAAAAAAATAAGATTTCATGTTTAGAAAACTCATATTATTTCCAAACACTTTCAAATGCAAATAATTTTATTACCTTTTATCCAGAACCAAGTTTCTACTTTCCACCCTCGCTTAATGGCTTCCTTTGCTAAAGGATTGTAACTATCGTCACTTGAAATGATAATCATTGTACCAGGATCCTTTTCCTGTATGGTATTCATTCCAGCAATTGTTAAAGTTGAATTTATGAAAGTTAAGCTACCTTTTTTCTCTTTATTTATTGCATGAAATGTCACTTTATAACCCAAACTTTGAACATAATTCCATAGTGAATCCATTTTAGGTGGTTGAATGCCAACTATTGTTGGATTGTTGCTCATTTCTCGTCCACGTAATACTCTTGAAAGAAGACGGCCATAATCAATTTTGAGTTCATTAAGATATGCAGATTTTCTTCTTCGATCATATGCACTTGCATGCACAATACGTCCTACAGTATATTGTCCCTCAAAAAGAATACTCGAATTATCAATGAAAACAGATACAAGTTTTGTAAATGGTCTTGCAGTGCCTGTAAGAATATATGACATAATAAATGTGAATAGCTGTATAGGCCGCAATAAATCAATCATCATATTATATTTTCATACCTGGAAGATTACCCTTAGGAGCAATTTTGTTAGAAAAAGAAGTACTTGAAACATTATTAGAATGGGAAGCTCCTGAAACCTTGTTAGAATGAGAAGTGCTTGGAATCTTGTTAGACATTGTATAATTGTATAGTTAAAAAAAAAGGAACAGTTCAAAAAAGAATAATTGAATAATTTTGTAAATATTTTGTAAAATAAATGAAAAAGAGTTATATATATATATAAAAACTTGTTATGTTGTACTGATAAATTTTTATGTATTTTGTTATTCATTGACGACCAACATATAGGTCATTAGTCAAAATGATTCAATAATCAATTATTTGTCATCAAGCGAACATTATAGGAGACATCTATTTCTATTTTTATAAGTTAGATTAAATTTGGCTAAAACTTCATTCATGCTAGTTTCAAATTTAACTTTTATTTTTTAATAGTAATTTATTGATAATATTTCTCATCATCAGTAATGATTGACATCTTTAATTGATTGGTTTTATTAAGACACTTTCAATCAATAAGAATTCGGTTTCAAATGATTAACTGGTTTCAGTTTCATATATTAAATTATGACCGGCGCCAACATCTAATCAAGCATGTTTTTATATAAGAATAGGATGAATTTTTAATATTGTACTTTTATTATTAACATATTTTTTATTGCTTTGTAACATAACATATTTTTTATTACTAATATATTTTTATTATTTTATAACATAACATTTTTTATTGTATAATGGCTATAAGGATTGGTTAATTGCTTATTTTTTTATAATATGTGGCATAGATGACTCCATTGACTCCTTATCGGATTCATTGTACAAATTAGAACATTAATGTAAAAATACCAATTGGATGTCAAATTCCTTTACCAAATTTTGACAATCATAAATTGAGAAAAAATTCAAATTGAAATGAAATATCCATAATACACACAGTGTTAGTATATATTTTGACTACTAATGAAGCAATAAAATTGTGATATATATAAAATTATGGGATGCCTCAAAGGACATGTTCCTATAACTGCACATTTCTGAAAGATTATTTGAGCTGATATTTATTATTGAGACAAATTAGAAAAAATAGCTGAAAATGAAACTATTTACCATATTTCAGAATAAAAGCAACTAGTATTTTTCCAGTACTAGTAAAAAGTAATTATACAAGGTTTATTATTATTTTATATTATAACGAAATATATTTTTCCTAAGTCATTTGTATAATACATTTGTTTAATAAAAAAATTATCAAAAGTGTGTAATTTATTGATGTCAACCATTATAAAAAATGGCAGTGTGCTAGTAATTTTTTAATATAACTATCTCTTTTAAGAATGAGCTAATGGTTTCTTGATTATTTAAGGATGTTAGCTTTCGCTTGATGGTATTTTCTAATGTAACATATATGTTGAGGAATTATTAATTGTTGTGAAATATTTTCATATTAAAACATAAATTCATAAAAGATATGAATCATTTTAATTCTGACCAAATTTATAATTTTACCAGAATTAATGAAGTCATGTATAATAGTTAATCAAGCTAGTATCATTATTAATTTATTGTAATATAATATTTCACAGGCTTAAAATTATTTTAAAATGAAACCTATTTATTTGCTTATTATTGTTATCAATTAAACTATAAATCCCAGCATATAAAATTCCGATATAAGTCTTCTAGTCCCTTAAATTGAAAGTTTCAAATTTTTTTATAATGCCTAATTTCATATATTTATCAATTATTGTTTTCATATCCTTTCCCTTCACCTCTGAAATAACATTGTTACTAAAACCAGTAATGATAATTAATGAAAGTGATCTTTGTGATATACGATCTTGCCAGTTTACAAAAAATTCTTCTAACTCTTCATGAAGCTTCATTATCTACTATTTTACTATAATGACAATCTAAATTTAAACTATAAAAATATTTTTGTAAATAATTTGCCAAATCCTTGAAGATGGTTTTACCATTAAACCATTCATCACCATAACGAACTTTAATAATTTCTAAATATTGACAATTATTTAGAATTAATTTCAATGTTTCTGACTCATCATTCTTAAAAGGTGTACATAGATTTTTAAGATTTGGACAAAATTTAGCTAAAGCCATATTTAATGAATTTAATGAATCATAATAGCACATAGATATATTAATATGTGTTAAAAATTTTCAATTAATTTCCAAAAAGTTAATTAGAATTTTTACTCTTATAGATTTTATGCATATAAACTTTAAAATCTTTAATTGTGAAAAATGTATATACTGTAATTGGTCAAAATTAGAATTATTAAAATCTTGATGACATAAATTAAGTTCTTGTAAATTTTTGAACACAGCTATGAATGCTAAGTCTATATCACATCCAAATAATGTTAATTTTGTTAATGAAAAAGAATTCTTAACTAATAAAGGGATTATTTTATCTTTATTTTTGTAGTCAATTAACTTTATGACTTTTAGATTATTTTGTAAAGAAATTAAATCTTCTAATCCATCTGAAATCATAGTATAATAAAATTTTATACGTAATGATTGTATATTATGACATATTTGAGATATTTGACAAAAAAATTCAGATTTACATTCTAATCTTATGAGGTTTGCTAAACAGATTTTTGCTCTAGGTAATAAATAAATTTAAAATCTTCTGTATAACATGAATTAACCTCAAAAACTTTTAATAATGAAATTTGATTCATAAACATTTTTAATATTTCTTGTGATATTTATCCAGCATTTACTAAGCTTTCCGAAGTAATTGATTGTTGTTTTTTAAGTGTTCGTCTAGTTATTACTTTAATGTTATCAATCGAGATAATTTTGCAAAATGATGGATAATTAAACAATGGAGGTTTCTGAATTGGAATGGTAATACAATTCTTATGTAAAAGTTCTTTTGATTCCTTAGGAAGAAAAGCAATTAAAGTATTAATAATTGTATGTGGCTTATCATAATCACTAAACTTCCAAACATCCCTCCATAAATTCTAACTACAATTTCACAACAAAGACTGTTAACTAATAGACATGAATATAAGTTAGTATTTTTATCATCATTTAAATATTCAAATATATAATTAAGACAATCATAAGGATCTCTAATATATTGATGTGAGAAATGAATAATAAAGGTGAAAATCAGTTAAATCAGTTAATATCAGTTAAATCAGTTAAATCAGTTAATTTTAAGGATAATAATTTGTAAATAATTACGCTGCTAAAAACTTTTAATAAAAACTTTTAATATATTTAATAGGATTTAGCAAGTAAAAAAAATTACCCGCCCAATTATATATGTGAAATTATACAATTAAGTTATTAGTCATGATAATTCTACTAGTGATAAATGCTGAGCTAATATTATTCAGTTTTTTGTGAAAGAATTTGCATACGCAAATGAGTCATATTGTTGCACCATATAAGAAAACTTGTATTAAACATGTTTGATCAGCCTTTAACAGCAGGTCACGTAATCACACTCAGATGTGATAAATGGAACCATGATTGATAAGGTATTCATATCAAAGAAATTTTATGATTAATTTCTAATAAGCTGATTAATAGCCAATCAATAGCAATAATTTTATCTGTCAACGTAATTAACTATTTATAATATATATAATTAATAACTCAATCATAATAAATTCATTAGTAGTTTATTGTGTTTTTTTTTTTTTTTTTTTTTTNACTCGCGTAAACGCGAAACTCCTTTATTAAAATTATAAAAAGCGCACCAATTACAAAATTAAACTGGAGAATCACTTGAAGTAACCAATGCAAGCACTGATTCAACCTCTCCATACCGGGCACTTCGGCCTACCGCTCGGTCAACCCACGATCCCCTTAAAATAACTACACAACTACGAAAAAAACTATCTATTTAAAAATTAAAATAAAATATCTACACTATACAATTTCTATATACGTGAAACTATTTCTTTTTAACTAATCTACGTCTGCCTCCTCTACCTCGTCCGCGACTACCTGGTTTTCCCCCTCTTTTGTTATGCGCTTCTGTACTTACCACCACTTGATCTTCTTCTTCTTCATCACTATCACTTTCTATTCCTTCTTCCTCTTTTACACGGTCACCTTGTGTCTTTCTTAGGCGTTTCCTTTGTTCTGCTGCTTCTTTTGCTTTTTCGAAGTCCTTCCTGTAATTATCACGCTGCGCTTGTTGTCGCTCCATATATTCTGGAGTACTAATCGGTTCTTTTTTCTTTTTTTCATCTAGCCTCTTGCTACATGTTTCATTTATCGATTCATACTCGTGTAATTCTAATGGTGATACCTGTTTAGTATTTTCATTGGATTTTGCTTTATCTCTTTTTTCACTTTTAATCTTATCCAGTATTTTTTGATTTTCATTCACTTTAGTATGAACTACTTCCAATTCTTTTTGTAACGTATCACGTTCCAACCTTGCTTCATCCATCTTCTTTTTTCTTTCTTTTAAATCTGTAACTAGCGCAGCATACCCATTTCTACATCTGTCAATCCACTTTTCATCATCTTTTTCATCCTGTGACAACTCTTTGTTGATTTCTGCTCTCAAATCCAAAACTATGTCTACAACTTTCTTTGGTGAGGCGTAGTCTTTTATTGATGTTGATGCGATATTTTGTGGAGATTCATCTAATAAATTCTTCCTATATTTATTTACTACATCAACCACCTCGTCTGTACTAACGTTTTCTATAATTGTTGGCTTGGCTATAGGTTGTATTTTCTTTGCAGGCTTTACTTTTCCATTATTTCTTGGCGTAGTGCTGACCAAATCACTACGTGAGTCCCTTTTTGAGATCTCTACCGGTTGATTGCCCAAACCCTTACCATGAATAATCCAAGTATCGTCTGCTCCTTTGTCCAATGCCTTAGCTGCGTCCAACTGATCTTTGTCTTTAAAGTATGCAAGAAATACTAAGTTTTTTCCAAAACGCGCCGTTTTGCCGTACTCAAAAGAGTAATTTTTTCTAGCTACGTCTTGATAATAACTCGAACGAATTATTTTGTATGCCTTCCACTTACACTTTTCTTTTATAGATTTGACTGTACTTTGTCCTGGAAACCAACGAACTTGCATCGTTGTTTGTTTCTTTTCACTATTACCAAATAAAAGTTGTACTTTCCACGTTTCTCTCACAAACTCACTTTCGTATTCATCAAATAAACTAATTTCAGCTCTTACCGATTGGTATTTATAGTGCAGTTTATTGTGTTTTAGCTAAATGAATTTTTCGTTAATAAACTAAGTTTAAATATTATTCTGGTTAATAAAATTTTTGGAAATTGTTATACATTACAAACACAATTAGGAATTAGGCCGTTTTACAAGTGCAAAATTCAGATTCACTTAACATGATAATTATTTAATTCTTGTAATTGTGGAAGAACCTAGATATACTGTATAAGGCTAGTAACATAAACTCTGTTAGTCATTAAATATACATTAAGCAGTAATTGTAAGTTGTAACCTATTAAGCTTATGTACCATGAAATTTCTGAAATTATGTAAGTTTTGCATTTAGCTACAGTGATCGAATGGTAGTAGAAATTGATTGTGCAAATTATCTGTAGTTTTTGATTTAAAATAATTTTTTAAGAATTACATTAAAATAAACATCTTTTAATAATTCTTAAGATGTAATTCTCGATTGAAACAGCTTTTAAAATTATGTTGCATTGATGAAACAAAATATAAATAATTGCATGGAAGTAAGTAAAGATCTACAATACTGATAATCGCCCTAGAGGTCTGCAAACGGGACCCGGAACCCGGAAACCCTAACCCGGCCCGGACCCAGATCCGGGTCCGGGCCGGCACATGAATTTTCGTTGAACCCGGATTTTCGTAATTCTATCCAAAATCGTCTTAATTCCGGCCGAAATTAAACTGGCCAAAATTAAGTTGGCCGATTTTTTTGTTTTTACAACAAAATGATATAATAAAAGTCCGGGTCTGGTCCGGGCCAGGTTTTTAATATTTTAAGTCCGGGCTGGGTCAGGCCGGGTTGTAAAATAGTGGTCAATGCAGACCTCTAAATTTATCGCCCTATAAAAAATTTTCTGGGAAAAATTCAGATAAATGATCATTTTTCTAATTTGTATTCCAACTCCGACATGTGATCAATTTTCTAAAAAATTTTTTATAGCGTTCACATTTATTTGCGCCATAATCATTTAGGATCAGTAAATGTGTTAAAAACTTATAATTAATATATTATTGTATTAAAATTATTCAAATTTTAACTGTTAATAACATTAACAAGCAATAAACATAAAGACATAAATTGTTCTATTTGCAAACAATAGGAAAATGAATATGTTATGTAATTTTGGTTTATAATAATTAGTAAGTACATCAAATAATACGTAGATAGTAACAAATTGTGACAAATTTGTTTTATCACATTTTCAAAATTGTAAAATTTAAATTTTCCTTTAATGGTGTGGTGTACTTCAATATCGTTTTTGTATTATTTTTTAGAATATTAGAAGACAAATCGAGGACGGTCTCAAAATGCTAATAATGATTGGTAATAGATGCAACTTGATCAAGGGTGAATTAAGCACTATCAATGATTTTTGCTATTGCTAATTAGATATTGTTCAAGTGTATTATGCAAATAATGCGTATTATGGTTTCAAAAACGTTTTTACCATAAAGGTGAAGCACATTCAAAAACAGTATAATAATTATTTCCCTTCCTTTCATGCTAAATTGATTCTGCAACTCCGTCTAATATTTTCAACGATGATCAAAGTTGTACATGACAAAATTATTTTTATCAATTATTTAGAAAAATACTTAGCAGCAATGGTATAATTAATATTAAGATTTACAAGTTAAAACATATATATAAAGGAAAAAATGAAAAGAGAAATAAAGATTTTAAAATTCGTTTTTTAAAAAGTGAAAAAATAACTTGAAAAACTTTGTAATCATTTTTAAATATGTTATTATAATGCCCTTTACTAGGATCCCATATAGTACCATTTGTGTAAGATGACCTGAATTTTACTACGTTCCCTACTATGTTCTCTACACAAAAGATTTTCAGTAATTATGAGGGTTGGAATTAATTTTTTGATTATAATCATTTTAAGATGATGCGCACTAGAAAGAGATGATGATATAAATTATGAGTTAGAGGCGAATATTGAAGAAAATGATATTGAAACTATGATAAATGTTACTAGTAATGTTACTAGTAGCAAGAAAATGATTATAAACATTATATTAAGCTCGACATTAAATTTATTGTTTCCAAGTTTACAAGTATTAGACCAAAATTAATTAATAAAATCAAAGCACCTAGAACAAAACTAAAATTTATAAATTATATATAAGTTTTATTAAAATCAAAAATCTAATTTAATCAAACAAGATAAAATTTTACATTCACATTGAAATATTCTAACTTATTTTGTTTTTTTAAATAAAGATATAATAGAAGAAGATTTCTTTTCTTCTCTTTCTCTATCTTCTTCACTTATTTTATCCGCCTTCAAATTTCCTTCATCATCTAAATCTGGATCATTTTTTTGAATTTCAGTCTTCTTTTTTAAAGTATTTTTTGTTACCTTTTTCTTTACAATTTGAAAAACTTCATAATCATCTGTTTTTAAATTTCCTGTTGGAATTCCATCAATATTGGTATATGTATCGGAATTATTAATCGTCCATGTGTTATGATCAATACAATAAAAAAATCCACCAAATACTGGTCCATAATCAGGATAACAACCTATTGATTTTGTACCATTACTATAACCTAATTTTCCAGTTTTTATATTCATTCTATCTGTAAATGAAAATATAAAACTATCAGTTGTTGATTTATAACTATTACTTGAATCCCAATCAAATGGATTATATCCTCCAATAATTTTTTCTGAATCCTTAATTTTAATTATAATTATAGTAGCACCTTTATTATCACATTTTTTATGAAATGCTTCAGGAGTACCACCATCTCTACTAGCCCTATATAAAAGGTTGAGTTCATAAGGAATAGTTTTACTAGTATATTTCGTAATTTTTCCTTTTTTATCAATCCAATTTGAAAAAACTACAATATGATTTTGATTAATTAAAGAATATTTTGGACATCTTTGTGAAGATTTATCAAGAGTTGGTTTATATTCAGTAACCATATGAAATTTTAAAATATCATCTCTTAATTCTTTAGGTAAAATTTCTTCATAAGATTTAACCTTATTAAAATAATCATCAGAAGATATTTCGTAAAATCTAATTAAAGGTATAAATTTGTAAAGAATTCTTTGAAAATGATTAAAATATTCCTTGGACCATTTAGAAACATGTTGATTAGGTGTTTGTCCTTGTGCTAATCCCCATTTAATTAAATTTTCCCAAACTTCAATTTCAGGTAAATTTAAATCATCACGTTTTAGAATAATCTCTAATAAAGGAGCAGGTAAATTAATAAATTTATCAGAATTGAATAAAATTTTAGGTTCGAAACAAATTGTTTCCAAACAAAATTCTTGTAAATTAACAAGTGATTTATTATAATAAACGATTTGAAGAGTTCCGACCGGGTCACTTCGCAAGAATTGATGATGATTTTCAAGAATAAAATCTTCGGCAAGTTTAGTTAATTGTTCCAATTTTAATTCGTCAGAGGCTATCATAATATCCAAAAGCTCAGTTCCAGTTTTATCATCAACATTAATATGACCAGTATAAAGATATCTAAAAAAAAAAAATATATATGAATAAGTCAAATAAGTAATTTATAAGAAATAAAAAATTTGTATAAAAATAATTTTTATATAATTACTTTATAATAACTGAAAAAGCTTTAGGTGAAATATTTGGATACTTTATTACATATTTTTCATCTTTTTTTTCGATATTTTTTACGGAAAGTATTTTATTAAAATGATGGGATCTACAACGTAAAATATTAGAATGCGCATGAAATTCCCTAAAATTTGGTTTTTCTCCAATATTTATAATAACATTATAATCTATTTCTGTTAAGAGTAGTTGTTCAAATGCTTTTATAGCATCAGATTCAAATTTATATGACATGTTTTTATTTAACCGAATTTTCTGAATGATGTTATTATTATTTTTTTTTTTAAATCGAAAAAAAACAAGTTCTAAAATGGAAATAATGAACTTATAATTTTACATGATGATCTTTATAAAAGGATAAATTGAATATTACATAATCTCTTTTATCGGTCAATCATTTACCCGATTCCAGTCAACCAATTTTGGCCAAATTAATGTTTAATTTTTTTTAATTTTGGCAGAAATTTTATGACGCAGTAATCGAATTAAAATTTATTTTAAATGGTTTTTCTTTCAAAACATTATAAGTCAAAGACAATTTATTGTTACATAGTACCATAATAATCGTAATACTATCGTAATAGCTTACTTGTGAAGATAAAGTACTTACTATAGTAGCCAAAGTTATTTATAGTGCGAGACATTGTGATCTGCAGTCATGCTGTTTTGCTCATCGGTTTATTCGGTCACATTAAAAATTAATCAAGCCAATATAAACTAAATTAAATATATAACTGAACGTGGTTTTAGAGATGGTAAAAGATGAACAGGCTTTCTAAAGAATTAATAAAAATTGTTTTAAATGAATGTTATTAAAAACAGGAAATTTTGGCACCAATTTTATAAACAAACATATTTTAGCGACTGTTGTTTAATTTTCTGTCATTTGAACTGAGCATCAAGATAAGTCCGACTTCGTGTTCAACCAAAAATTCTTGGATAAGAGAAATAAATGATGGTCCCGCAATGATAAACCCATATTACAACAGAACTTCCCGAATACGAAGATATTACATTAAATAACTCTGTACACTTTATAATACAACTTCATATGTGTAAATTACTAATAAACTTAGTAGATATCACATCAATTATCACATACAGAGTTTATCTTAATCTGATATCTTAAACAATATTGAAAATCAGTATAGAAGAAAGTAGTCAGTATAGAAATACTTCTAAACTTTGAAGAATTAGAGTCTAGACCAAATATTACTTTACCGCAGATTATATAATTTAAGATGAACTTTATAAAAGTTTGATTTTGCAATTTTAATAATCTTTCATTATATAAAGTATATGACCAAGCACTCTTAACTGATAACAGATAATTACAGTTTATGTTAAATAAAAAATAATAATATCATCCTTTTATTGGTTAAATTTATTATTTTGAAAGCTAAATAATCCATATTTTAATCTATTAAATTTGAATAATAAAAACATCACGATATAAAATACTTTTGAAACATATGAAATAATTTAATCTTATATCGTTATCTACATAATTGCAAAATAAAATAAAAAAACTACTTGTTATAATAAATATAAAAAAATAATGAATGGTTTGATTATTAATTTAAATATTCCAATTAAAATATAATCTTTGATTTTTTTTAACTTTAACTGTAATTTTTAACTTTACCTTTCAATTATTTGAAAAACTTCGTAACTTTCTATTACAAAACTTTTTGGAATTGTTAATTTAGGATAATAATAACCACCATTATAAGACCAATAATTATTATCACAATGTAAATTACCCATAGTTGGACCATAAGTATTATGACAGAAAACAGCACATGTTGTACTAGTAACATACCCTATTTCTGCGGTAGAAATATTTTTTCCATCCGAAAAGTTAAATATAAAGCTATTTGTCGTAGCTTTCCATGAATTTCCACTCCAATCAAGGGGATTATACCCTCCAATTAATTGTGTTGAATTCTTAATTTTTGCTACCCAAATAGTAGCTCCTTTATTATCACAATGTCTATGAAAAGAATCAGTTCCAGCTCCATCCCGATTTGATCGATATAATAAATTAAAATCATAAGGAATTCTATTCTTGTTATAACCTGTAGCTTTTTTATCAATCCATGAAGCAAAAAGAGGAATATGACTTGATTTAATCAGGGTTGAATCTATGAAATTTTGTTTTCTTGAACGTTTTAAATTAATTTTAGGTTTCATATCAGGAACTATATAAAATTCTAAAAGATCATGAATTAAATCTTGTGGTAAGATTTCTTTATAACGATAAACCTTGTAAAAGAAGTCTGTTGGTTCGATATCATAAAAATGAATTAAAGGAACAAATTTATGTAATTCCTTTTTAATCTTGATAATATCATCTTTACTCCATTTTGTTGGATCATAATTAATATTTTTCCTACTAATACTCCATTTTAATAAATTCTCCCATATTTCAATTTCATCAGCATTTAAATCATCCCTTTTTAATAATAATTCCAATAAAGAAGCTTTTAAATTAATAAATTTATCAGAATTAAATAAAATATTAGGTTCTTCACAAATTTTTTCAAGATAAAAATTCCATAAACCTGTAAATGCTTCATGTTGATATACAATCTCAAGAATACCAGTTGGATTTTGATGTAAAAATTCAGTTTGATGTTCAATCAAAAATTCTTGAATATGAGAAATTAATGGATGAATATTAAGTTCATCAACTGCTATTAATAATTTTAATACATCAGGGCCTTGTAAATTCTTTAATTCAATATTTCCACAATAAATAAACCTAAAATTAAATTAATTATTAAAAACATTTTATAATAAAATTAATATATTAATAATATTATTTTAATATTACCTAAGAATGATATCAAATAATTGTGGTGAAATATTCGGTTTTTTGAAAATAAATTTTCCATTCCTTTTCTGAGCCCATTCGTTAGTAAACGCAGAACGAAAATATTGAGATCTAATACACAATATACTTGAATGAGCATGAATTTCTTTAACATTTTGTCCTTCTCCGGCATATATAATAACATCATATCCTATTTCTGTTTCGAAAAGTTTTTCATAATCGCTGGATAATTCTGCAAAAAATTTTGAAGACATGATTAAGAAATTAAGAAATATGTAAATTAAAGTTTTGAATCGAAGCCTTATTTATATTAACTTTTGATGATCGTGTACCAGTCGTGTAACCGTAAATTCTTGTAACCGGGAACAAATTCAAAATTACAAAAATTCAATTTATTTTACGTAATTAGTTTGAAGTTTCAAACTTAATTCATTTGAAATACTGTAAATTGGCTTATTAATGTAAGAAAATAAAATTTTTTAATCATAAAGGGTAAAAATAAATAATAATTTCAAATTTTATTTTTACCAACCTTTATTTAAGTGGTTATTATGCACTACACGCAGATATCGGGCAGGTGACATATGAATTAAATTAAATCATTTATTTTATATACATTAGGAAATATTTTAGGCGTAATCATGCAACAGGGGTATAACCTTGCGTAGATTTAAAGCTTACACAAGGATTTTGTAAACTTACGCCCTGATGCAAGGTTACGCAATTTCATCTCTATGACAATTACCGAATGTAGTTGAAATGATTGCTATAAACAATCTTCATTCATTATATATTGTGCATTAGCCTATCATTTGGTAAGAACGTAATCTCCCGAAAAAAATTTGCTTTCCAAATTTATATTTTTTTGATAATTTATTTTTACTTTTTTTTTTTGCATTCATTAATTTATTTTTTTTCTTCGGTTTAGGTAACGATCGTCAAAAAATTAATTTGATTACCTAACGATCACGGAAATCCTCTTGATACAGAAGTAGAATATGGCGTTAAACAAAATATTAAATATTTAAATATATTAATCATTCTAAGTGATATTTAATTATGTTATTAGTTAAATTCCATTTTTATATAATAACAATTAACCTTATTTTGGGTTTATTTGAACTGCTGATAGCGGTAGATGAATTCAAATTGAATGTTTACGCTAAAATTCGACTGGTACTCTTGAGACTGCTTATCAACATGAAGAATTTACGTCATTACTGCTGAATAAATTTGTGAAGAACATGATATTTTATTTAATTACAATAAACTTTATATTAATATGAAGCTCAATTAGTTTTTACACCGCAAAAAGCGATTCAACAGTATGTAATTCGTGGGAGTTACTAATATGTAATCTAAAGTAATTTAACACCAAGAAAATCAAATTCTTTAAATTCTACCTTGAGCTTTGGTTAAATCAAGTCATTCTCTATTTTGCCTAATGAATTGAAAAAAAGATTCTTCACATAATAACAAATAGTAAATTCCCAATGGTTATAATTTTATATCATTCAACTTATCCTTTTCATAGAAATTGACTAAACAAAAATTAAAAATTCAGTACAATTAATTGGAAACTATAATTCACTTGATCGGAAAGATTCATGAAAAACTATAGCTTATGAATTCTGAGTTCAACTTGCCGATTTTTTATTGCAGACATGGAATACGTTAATAATGTTATATCTTGTACTGCTATTGTCATAATACCTATAGACCAACCATGGATGATCGCAATACATAAGTATATATAATTCCAAATGAGCTTGAAATATCAGACTTTTATAATAATGATATATATTTGTAACAAAATTAAGGTTATACGTATCAGTTTTCGTTAAATGTTGAAATATATTATTACTGTAACGGGTGAGCATGTTTAAAAATTAAATAGAACGGACCAAATCGAAACTTCTAGTGAAACTTAAATATCATTTTATTTTTCGTAATTTTCATTAAGTTTTATACATTCTCATATTTTAATAAATAAGAATTGAATCAAATTCACCAATTAATCTTATCTCGTTTTTATGATCGGTCAACGATTGGAAATCATATCTAGACATACTCGTTTATTATTCACCCTTGCTTTCAAGTTTCAACTTTATTTGTACTACTACTAAATATTTGAAATACATAATTCGCTAAACGTTAAAATATTCATAATACTATATATTACGAATTTGAATGGTGATTAGTTCTGATCAATGACTCATTTTTTTTATAAAAAACGTCATAAAAATTACAAAGTGATAATCATAATTTCAGTAAATGATTCAGCTTTTGTTACATCAACCTTACCAAAAAAATAAATTAATCTATGTTACTCACTTTATATACAACGTCGCATATTATTTATTAATTAATTATACATCCGCATTAAGATAAGGTATGACTCACAACATAATACTATACATAAGAGACCTTTTTTCCTTTATTTTTATTTATATTTTTATTAATTATATCGCCATCCTCGTCTCAAGTAGTGTTTCGATCCGTGACCGGGTCCAACCGGTTGGACCCGGATAATTTATTTTTTTCGGATATCCGGATAAACGCGGTTTTTATCCGGATAATTATCCGGATAAAAATATCCGGGTCAGATCCGGTATCCGGATAAAAAATATAAAAAAAAAAATTTTTTAATATTAAATATCTTAAATAATAGTTCTTTTAATTTTCATTTTTATTTCAAAGTATATGATAGAATAATTTAATAATTAAAAACATGTAAATATTCTTATAATAAAATTCTTTATTTAATAAAATAAAATTCAATACATTTAATAAAAAATATTTAATAGAATAAAATTCAATACATTTAATAAAAATAATAATGAAAAATGTAATATCATTCATCTAATAATTCTTCCAATTCGTGTTCATCTTCCACATAATCATTATTTTCCACATCCAAATCTGGTGGAAATATATTAATATGATCCATAGTTTTCATGTTACGTTTTAAAAATACCATTTTACCTAATAAAGCAGGATCCAATAAGCTTCTTTTTGCTGTAATGTGGTTTCCTGCATCTGAGAAAAGTCGTTCAGAAGCTACAGAAGTAGCAGGAATTCCTAAATATTTTCGTGCAATAATAGAAAGAACTGGAAAAATTTCCTGTTTTGATTTCCACCAATCTAATGGGTTTTTATTTTCCCTAGCAACTGGTAAAAGAAAATAAGTAGTAATTTCATCAGCTATTGCTGATGATGAAGTAGAACTTTCTTTTGTTTGAAACACTTTTTTTACTTTTTGTTGACGTCTTTCTTGATGCTCATGTAAAGATCTCATGCTAGGAGTTGAACTTGTTGAGGTAGTTGAAATTGTTGAAATTGTGGGTGATGGTGGAGTACTAGTTTGTTGCTGCATTTCTCTCTTTAATTGATCATATTGTATTTGTAAACTTGAATGAATTTTTACTTTTGTTTCTTCATCAGTTATAAAATTAAGATCTTTATACCTTGGATCCAAAAGTGCTGCCATAATGCCAAACTCATCTGGCATTGCCCAATAATGTTTCAAACCTAAATAAATTTTATTTTTTACATTTTTTAATACTTCTGAAATATTACTATAATCTACTTCAATTTGTGAACTTTCTTCTTCTACTATATCAGAATTAATAGTATTATCATCAGAATCTTCTAATACTTCATATGAATTATCAGATGGTTTTAAAGAATTTGTGAGATCTGTAATAATAGGAAACATTTGACTTAATGTAACATAAGTATTTCCAGAAAAATCTCGTGTAGCTTTCTCAAATGGTGCCAAAATGTTACATAATTCATCTAATAACTCCCATTCATTATCTTTTATCATAATTTTTTTTAATCTAATTCCATCAGTTTTTTCTTCAGATATAAGAGAACAAGACAAGTTTACACTAAGTTGAAGCACAGCATATTGAAGAAAAATCAGCCGATCCCATGCCAAATATGAAGAGTTCCACCTTAAGTAATTAAACAACAATAATTATATAAATTAGGATAAAATTTATTAAATAATTAAATTGAATTAAAATATTTACCTAGTAGATATATCTTGTATTAAATGTAATGGTTCTTCATAACCAATCTCTTTTTGCACTTTAATCAATCGTTCAATTTGTTTTTGAGTAGAAAAAAAATTTATTAGTTGTTTTGTACGTGATACCAAATTTTCTACAACTTTTAATCCTTTACTAATTGCCAGCTGCAAAGTATGAGCAGCACATGAGAGTCTTTTAATTGGTGTTAAATCTCGAATAGCAGCTACTACATTTGCTCCATTGTCTGTTGTTATTGATACAACAAGATTTTCAATTTCCCACTTTTGCATAGCATTTTTAATACCTTCAGTAATTGCTTTTGCAGTATGTGGTGTTGGAAAATAGGATATTTCAAGCAAAACATCCATTATTTCAAAATTTTTATTGATCCAAGTTGCTGTTAAGCCTAAATATCCATGTTTTGAACGAGAAGACCACAAATCAGTAGTTAAAGATATTGATTGAGCAGTTTTTAAAAGCAGTTTCAATTTTTCTTTATTATACCCATAACTGCGAGCAATCATCATTCTTAATTTTTTTTCTCCAGGAACTGTAAATTGTGGATCTATAATATACATATGCTCAATATATGCCTTTTGAGTTATGGTTGATAATGGTTGAGTTGTAAGTAAAATCCACCGTAGTGTTGATAATTCTTTTTCTTTTTGTCCATTTTTATTGGATGCAGATTGAGTATGCATTGGTGATATAATGCCGCTTTCTAGAGGTGGTATAATTCCATGTTTAACAAGATGGTAACTGAGATTTCCTGTAGACCCATCATATTTGTAATTTTTTGAGCATTTTTCTCCATCATCTAATAAAAACTGACAATATGCACGTATTTCTCCTTTATCATTTTGTTTTTTAATAAAATAATCCCATACCCAACTTACTTTTGTTTGTGGTTTAATTATTGCAGCAGTTTGTTTAAAGGGATTTGAATCATTTGGTGCTCGATCTGTTGATTCTAGTGTAGTATTTGTCATTTTTTGTTTTCCAAGGGCTTTAGATAATTTTGCAGGACGTCCTCTTTTTTGCTTTGCTAGTGGTGTTGGAGTAATTTCAACAATTTCATCACTAGAACCTTCATTTTCACTTAAGGTAATAATGTAATCTTGATCATTGTTATTTTCCATAATTTTGTGAATTATTTTAGCTTTCAATAAAATAAACTTTAATTGAAATTATGAAAAATTCAACAAGGGAATGTACAGTATTTATTAATCTTTATTATGGCTTAGAAGTTAGAACTGAATTAACTGTGATTTTATTTGTAAAAGTTTTAATAAACAAATAATAATTGTCATAAATCAATAGGTCTAAATAATAAATTTACCTGATTAATATTGTAAAATTTTACAAAATTTTATTGCTACAAATTTAATAAATTCCATGAAATTAATAATACGAAATTAATTAAACAAATTCCACGAAAATAATTAAACAAATTCCACGAAAATAATTAAACAAAGACATAAATGAAGTTAATTACAAAATTAATTAAGAAAATACTATGATATTAAACTAATAAACACTACGAAATTAATTAAGCAAATGCCACGAAAATAATTAAATAAAGCCATAAATTTAAGCCACAAAATTAATTAAATAAATTCTACGAAATTATTTAAATAGGTGCCACGAAACTAATTAACAAAGCCACACATTTAAGCCACAAAATTAATCAAAATGTTACGAATTTAATTAAATCTATGCTATGAATTAAATCTAATATATGCTATAAATTTCTTGATTTACAAAAAAAAAATTGTATAATTTTTATCCGGATTTCGGTTTCTATCCGGATATATCCGGATTTTTATCCGAACCGGATTATCCGGATAAAAACCGGATAATTTTTTTAATTTATCCGGATAACGGTTTCTATCCGGATCGAAACACTAGTCTCAAGATCATTCATTGCTTGGGCCAATTTTTTTAATTACCACACGTTTCTTATTATTTTTATATACTTATTCCCAATAATATGAAGTTTCTTTTAACATTACTAGTATGTTATTGGGTTATGTTTATATTTATTTTAGGAATCTGAACGAATACATTTAATAAAAATGACTATTCAATAACCATAAATCCAAAAGAAAATGCTTTAAAGATAAAGAAGAAAATCAAGGTAGGTTGACATAAGTCTTATTTTTTTATCGATTTTATCTGAATGTGTGTAACATCTACGTAATCTAGTCACCTATGTAGTGGATACTTTTATCATACATTAAATGCTCTGATAGTAAAAGCTCTTGTGAGTGACATATGCGTCAGTTCTAGTTACCTAGGAGGTTACCTACTGGTTTTATATACAACTAACAGTTTTTTACGCCTTTTTTCATGTTGTAAAAAATGGCTATAGATATACTTGAAATAAATACTTAACCTGCTGAAGAAACTATCGAAGGAAGTTCAAATAGAAGATCAAACAAAATTATTGCTTTTTAAAAAAAATAAAATAGAATACTCGTGAGAATTTTTCACACATTCATTTTTTTAATTTTTTTACTATGGCTATAACGCTATATATATTTATATATTGTTTTTATATTGCAAGAACTAAATAGTAATTAAGTTTGTATAGCTTTATTGTATTTTTCTTAAATGAGTAAACAATAAACATTTATAAAAAAATTCAAATAATATATAAAATATAAATTTATAAACGCGAAATTTTATATTTTTAAAATACGTCTCGAAATAAAAATAAATAAACGATTCCAAACTTTTAAATTTCAAATATGTGTTATCAACCATAGTAGGCTTTATCTGTAATCTTTTTTGAATATACGATCAATTATCTAATTCTAGCTTTGCATCATTAGCGACTACTATATCACCATAAGAATCGTTGGACTGACATCGAAAAACACGTGACTCAAGACATCATTCTGGTTACAAAAAGAGTGCTATAACAGCAAACCTTGTCATGAAGAAAACGTCATATGCAATTTATCACATTAACCAGAAGATTGTATTTCAGATTTTGGAGATAAAAAAAATAGAAATAGCACAGCAAATCTTTATTCATAAGCAAGAAAAATTTTTGCAAATGTCTGGTGTTTTACAGCATTAATTATGTTTTTCCAATGTTTATAGTTTCATTTACCACGCTAACAAAGAACTGTTCCATTAACAGCAGAATTTATTTAAAATATTATGTAACAAATGTAATCAATGCTGGTTCTCTCATATAAATATAGTTAATTTTTATATTGTATTATCTGGAGATACTGTAACATTACTGCAATATTAATTAATTGAATTATTTATTATATTGAAGTTGATCAAGGATATGCTTTTACTCCAATGACCGGGGCATGTAAAATAAAGTTATAAGGCATTATTAAAGTATTTGAAGGTATGTTTAATAAATTAAAATATTTGTCATTATAGATTTTTCAATATCTTAGTTTAACGCTGGAATTTTTTAATAATAAGTGATTTGATAGATAAAAAATCTCTTATTTAGAAAGCTAAACCTGGTTTAGTCATTCAGCTATCTACTTATTTATCCATTTTTATTTCTTTTTTTAAAAAAAGTATAAATATTCAATATAAATTTTCTCATTTTGTAGATGATGATAAAATTTATATATAACGGAAATCTGTGATGCGATAAACTATTAATTCAGTCAGTCTTATTTGATTCTCTGCTAGATACTGTATTTCACGAAAAATAATGCTGTTTTCGGCTAATTTCTTTAGTAAATGACCATTATCCTGAAATGGCTGATTTCAAGAACATATAGCTAATATCATCAAGCGAAAATTGTAACTAATGATTAGTAACTGTCATGGTGACTCTAATTTGAATATTTCACGATTAATTTCCGTAACTATAAAATCAAGCAAACCGTAAATAATTTGTCAGATAATATTCTTAAATAATAATACTTTATACTATAAAATGAGCTATTTCTTAATCGATAAATGATCACGTGATCATAGACGATAATTTCTTGTTCACATTCATATAGTCTACAAAATAGTGATGTTAGGGGTGTATGGCCATGATCTACCAGTCCAGTTGATTCTGAAAATAAAATAATTTATTAGAAAAAAAAAATTTACAGAAATTATTAACTGAATATGAAAATTGCTAACATGCATGATATTAAATAAACTTGGTTAATTCATCAAATGTCTCATAACCATATTTATTGCTTATCGAACACAGACCACCAAAATTCTCACGATAAATATACCTATTTCCTTACTTAATATAAAAGTAGATTTTTTTACACCATCAGGATAATTTTCCTGAAATTTTCCCCATAATTCTTGCTTCGTATTTGGAGGTAATGAACCGGTTCTTGTGTTAATTGTAAATAAGCATGATATTAAGTCATTTCAAAATTAAAAAAAAACTTGAAAGTTTGGAAAATTTTAATAAAATTTTATCACTTAAAATATTATCCTGTGTTACGCTCAATATCTTATCAAGATAAACAATATATCATCTGGTATACATGTTGTATATATAAGTTACTCAAAAACGCGTACATTACTCATTTTTTCTTTATCAGATGAATGTTAAATTACAATAATTTTGATTCTATTTCTACAATGCAAGCATATTTATTTATAATTATTTTTTTCATTCTTACATGGATCGTGTATACTGAGCATGTGTCAAAAAATAATATATTTGGTTCTTATATCATACATTAAATAACATCATGATATTAATTTTTTCACTAGATTAATATAAAAAAAATGTTATATTACGATTCTATTTATGCAATATGAGTCATATTTATTTATTCTTACATAGATCGCATCATATGTTAAATACATGATGATACTTATTTTTTCACTAGTTTGTTTTAGATTAATATGAAAAAATGTTATATTATGATTTTATTTATGCAATGTGAGTCACATTTATTTATTCTTACATTGATCGCATATAAAGTTTATAATCTTTTGTAATAACGGGTTGGACTGACAAAAGTTGAGTATTTATTAGTGCTTTTTTTCATGTCAATGAGTCATATGATTTTTTATATTTAAAATCCCTAATTTTTTAACTTTGCTTCTTTTTTTTTTCTAATACTGCTTTGCTTTTTACAAATATTGTTACTTTATACAATTAACTTTGCTTTTTTTTCCTAATACCATTTTGTTTTTACAAATATTTTTACTTTACAAGTACATATTATTTTGTAAGTTGACTTTAATAAATCATGAATGTAACTGAAAATTATATTGGATATGATGGTAAGAAATTCTAAATCTTTAACAAAGAGTTCATTCAGCTTCTAACTAACCAATTAACTACTATTATTAGCTCTTGTTTCTTACTTAGAATCAAAAAATCCAAGTTACCGTGGATTTTTGAATCTTAACCGAAATATCATTATTTCTTCACTAAATTCACTAACTAACTCTTCATTAACATTGGATAAATGGCAAAGCTTTGACATTACCTGGTACAAACGCTATTTATATGTAGCTAAATTATTAGAACCAGATATTTTTGTTACAATAGAGAATAAGGTGCGTTTTTTTTTATTTTGCAAAGTGTGGGTAACTCCTAAAACTTATAATAAGTCACTTAAGTGAGAATTACTGGATTTGTTCGTTTGGTAACCAGCCCAAGCTCTCAATTCAGGCACCCTAACTTTGTTGTTTAGTAAAGTCTGCTTGTTCTGGAGGAGGAACTGGCTATGTACCTTCTTTACTACTAAATAAAAAATTTGTGCACTATTAACAATCTCTTATTATTACAGATAAAAACAGAACATTTACAACGTATAAAAGAATTACAAATATACTGGCAAGAAATTATTAAAGAATGTGATCCAGCTTTACCTAAAAAGAAACAAGATATTAAGGAAAGTGATAAGAATTTAACACTTGCTGAAATTTCTCAACCAGATACATCACTTCCAAAAAAGACAAGTAAAGATTCTATTAAAAATCTTTCCAAAACTTTACAATCAGATTTACAAGAAGTTATTAAAGAATATGAAAAGGAAAATTTAATACTTGTTAAAACTTCACAACCAGATATATTACTTTCAAAAAAAAACAGTTAAGATTGAAAATCTTTCTGAAACTTCACAATCAGTTTTAACTAAAAAAAAGTTTCATTTTACTGACATTTGTTATGATATACTTCATGAACTTAAAAACAAATCTAATGCTAATTTATTCTATAAATATGTTGAAAAAGGTGTTAAAAATAAGGTTATAAAAAATCCAATGGATTTATTTACTATAAATTTAAAATTAAAAAATAATCAATACACAAGTTTAGAAGAATTTGAAAAGGATATTCGTTTAATATTTTGTAATTGTTATACATATAATGATGATGAAAGTGAAGTATATAGTTCAGGTAAAGCATTAGAATGTATTTTTAATAAAAAATGGAATGAAAAGCTTATTCTTCAAGGTAATAAACAAACAAGAGAACTAAAAAGAGTAAGAGATAATGATACTGAAGATACTGATAGATCCTGGAAGAAACAAATTCAAATTTTAGAACAAAATAAGAATAATTTAATGTATAGACAGGTTGTTGATGATGCACTTCTTATTGCTTCAGCATATGAAAATCTTGTTATAGGTAATATTATACCTTTTATTGAAATTCTAAAAACTTTTCTATTAACAAGATCAAAAATGTCTTTATCTTTGGCAAATGAATCTATGCTTCAAGCAATTGTTGAAAATCTTCTGCCATTAAAATATCGCATTCCAGAACTTTCATTAGTAATGGATGGCAAAAAATCAAAAGGATCAGGTCGCTTTGGTTATTCAGATATTTTTGTTTTAAAAGGAATAGGAGATAATTATATTAGTATAGAATTAAAATATATTTCATTGGTTGGTCTGATAAAAAATCATAAAGTTGAATTTGGTGCAAATGAATTAGAAAATTTAGATAAAATCCTTGAAAAAGAAAATGAAGAAATTTTATTAAAAAGAACATATACATATTGGTCAAAAGAATTAAGAAAAACTAATCAGACAACTATAGGTGAAATATTAAATGATGGTATAAGTCAATTGAAATCATATATGAATACAATTTCAAAAGGAAAAGTTGCTAATTATTCTAGTTCAGGAGTATTTGATAAACGTATTGAAATAATTAAATCAAATCCTAATAAATTAAAAGGATTTGTTATTTTAGTAATTGGCTTTCGATGTATTTTATGGAAACCTATTGAAGAAGTATTAGTCAATTATAATTATAACAAAATTTAATGAATTTTTACCTAAATTACATTTTTATTATTTTTATCTTTTAATTTTTAATATTTAGTATTGTAAATTGTTAAAGCTCACTGGTGATGATAGTTACTATACCAGCATTATGATGTATTTTCGACCAGAATTAAAAACCTAATAGAATACTGGCCGGCATTACATCATAATTTCACCATTTGTGACCATACCACCAGTGATGTTTAGCAATACCCTTTAGTACTGTATTTTTCTATCTTATTAGATTATCTATAACATTTTTTAAAATAATCTATAATATTTGCTATACTAATATAAATTTAATATCATATAATAAAAGTTATGAATAAATATATATATAACATCCTGTTATATATCTTATTGGTAATACCCTTATAAAATAAAATAATTAATAAATTCAATATATAAATAGAATTTAGATATACTGTATATAAAACAAGTTATAATTTAACTTTACTAATAGAAAAAAGTAAATTTAATCAAAATCAATTTGCAATTAATTCAACTATTTTTTTAAAATTATGGTTAATTTTTATGTTGTTGTCATTGCTCATATTCTGGATATCTTAATCATTTACAGTCGTACACACATAATCATAATTGATCAGCAGTAATTCTGGTCATAATTTTGGCCAGAATTAAAACACCGGAATGTTGATCATTTCCTTTTTTGTGATCTTAAATCTGAGATATACAAGTTACGAAGGTCTTTTTTTTTGAAGTAATCTAAATAATTAAAAAAAAGAATACAATAGAACAGATTCTATTTTTTTTAATAATATATATATAATTATCTAGGTTTTTTTATTAAAAAACCAAAGGCATAATTGTTTGAGAACTAAGATTTTTTTTTTCATCATAAATTTAAAATTGATCAAAATCTGAATAACAAAAATATAATAAAAAATAGAATAAAGTTCAATTTTACTTCGCATAAGTTAAACTAACCGAGTAATAATTTTTTAGTACTTGGATTTATATTGATTTACTAAACTAAAAAAAGAAATTAACTTCCTTTTTAAAAAAAAATTAGTAGTAATCCAGAAATAGCCATTTGATTTAACATAATACATTACTTTTTGATTATTTATGTAAATAAATTTATTTTTCTTCATAAATTTAACACCTAAATAAAAATTATTTTTTGTAACATTATTATAATTCCAATTTAACTAACCAAAAAAAGAAATGAATTATCAGAATTAGTAATCCATGATTGGCATATAACTACTTTAATCATAATTTGGTAGAAAAATTTATTATATAATTTTTTTTGCAAACAAATAAAAGATAGAGATTAGAAATAATTGACTATAAAATTTCTTGCCACATTTAAATCGTAAATATTAATTTGACATTTCTTAATACAATGTATAGTTATTTATTAGTATTATTTATAACAATAAATATCCAATTATTCTAATTACTTCACATTAAACAGTTTAGAAACGCCCCATCAGGGACTAAGGTAACTTGTGACTAAATAAAAATTATTCTTGGTTTTGAAACAAAAAAACAAAAAGCAAAAACAATTCGATTAAAAAGAAATATATTTTTTGGTTGTTTGAACCAAAAAAAAATAAAATAAAATAAAAAGCAAAGATTAAAAAAAAAATTTATTTTCAGTATTGAACTAAAAAACTGAAAATAAAAAAAAATCGATTAAAAATAATTTTTCAGTTTGACTGAAAAAATAAAAAAAAAAGGATTAAAAAAAAAATTTATTTTCAGAATTGAACTAAAAAAACCTAAAATAAAAAAATAATTAAAAAAAATAAAAAGTAAAAAAATTTTATTCAGGTTGAAAAAAGAGGTGAAGAATATAAAAATATAAAAATTTCAAAAAAAAGAACAGTTTATAAGAACCAGTAAAAAAAAGGTATTTAAAAAAAAAATATAAAGATAAATCGGATATCTTCAGCGATCTGCTGCGGCTGATCGCATCGTACTGTAAGATCAGACGGATGTGTTTTAAATTGTTTTTATTTTTTTCAAGTCCTTTCACTAAAATGCGCTATTTCCTAATTATTATTTTTTCTTACTATTTTATTGTATAGTTGAAAAAGTTTTTAATACTAAAACACATACTTGAACCATTTTTATTGTAATAAATAGATTGGGATATCACATCTGCCCAGTAAATAGTTTTTGTATAAATTTGTTCCAAATGGGCTCATCCATATATAATTGGCGCTAGATTGGCTTAAATTTGGATTATTTTTTGCATAAATTTGAGCTAATTTCGAGCCAATGAGCCCGTTTGGCATAAATTTATACAAAAACTATTTACTGGGCTGATCTTACGTGATGTTATTTTTACCTTTAAAATTTCCAATCAAAATGTATGTATAACCATAATATTTTATGGAGGTAATCTAAATATAGAGATATAAGGTATAATGTGAAATTGAGTGTAAAGTTATTTGTTGCTGAAAAAAAAATTTCAACTGCAATGTAATTATATAAATCAAATTCGTAGTTATGGATTTACAGTATACTTCTTTTATAGTAACTTTCTGTTTGGAATTTCTCTTTCCTGATAAAAAGAAAAGTAAAAGGTGGGTTCTTGAATTTCAACCTATTCTATTTTGTGAAATATTAATTTTAAATCATTTCTGGAAAGAATCTTACCCTAATCTAAAAAAACTTTAGATAGACGTTCAAAATTCAATTAATCTTGGAATATTTATAAGTGGATTGAATATATTAAAATGTGTCTGTACTATTATAAATTCTTAAATATTTACACTTATTAAATTCATTTTCAATTTTTGAATTAATTAAAGCTTTCGTTTAAAATTACCAAATGAAGTAGAAATAGTAGAAATATTTATGATACATAATACAAATTATAAATTATATTTATTTAATATATACGAGGCATTAGAGGCATTCGAGGTAACCAAATTTTTTGATGAATTAAATTAAAAATGAAATCTAAATTTAATTAATTCAAAAATAGTAATTAATTTTCGATTTTTTCTACATTGTCAGATATGGAATGATATCAAAAGAGTGCATTCCAAAAAAGATTGAAATTATGCATGAAGATTGAATAAATAAGGCGGAAGCCTATGCTGGATCAAAATTATATTGTTATGAATGATATGATGTTGGCCTTACAATAACATACAATTACGAGTATCATATTATTTTGACTTGGTTAACTTGATCAATAAATTGATCTAATGACTTTTATTTTTTTTTCTCACAATTTAACGAATTTTTTTTTTTACAAAGATGTTTGGCATGCTATTGAGATGAACAATTATTAGCTCACGAAAATTATCAACTAAAACCTTAAACCAGTGGTATTTATTGAATTTTCTCTCTGTAATTCTGAAATCTTTAAAAAACAAAGCCCAAGGAATAAGAATAAACTAAAGAGTGAAATCTTTGACGTTAAGAATGATGTTGTTCGAAACAAAATAAAATGTTTAGTAAATTAAAAAAATGAAATTGGAATGTTCGTAACAATATTAACAAACTAAAAAACGAAATTTCTGACGTTGAGAAGAGTATTCAGAGTAAAATTGGAGATGTCAAGAATATTCACGGTGAGGTCCAGAATTTTTGCAGTGAGATTCGTGGTGAGATTTCTATGTTCATGAAAGTATTCGAAACAAAATGGCCAATCAGAAACTTCAAGTGTTTAGGTATTTCATGGATGGGAGTAACAGGTATTTATTTAAAATTATATTTCTTTTATTTCAGTATCTAAATTAGTAACTTGTTGAATTTTGTGACCAGGTATCTCTGGGCTCTCTGGAATCTCAGTAGTTTCAATGAGTAAGATTTGCCATTTCTCCTCATATTACAAAAAAATATTATCAATTAACATATTTATTTTACAATTTATCGCATGAAGCCATCAGATTGAAAAATTGAATATTCAAAATGAGTAAATCTTCCTTATATTACAAAAAGATATTATCAATTAACATATATTTATTATACAGTTTATCATAATGCGACGATTTACTGAAAAGATAACAGTGTAATCTTGTATTTTATGTAACTATACATATTACACTGTTACAGCTATTATTACTCAACTATAAATGATTTTAATGTAACAATGGATATTTGCTATAAATAAATATAATTATTTTCATTGCTTGTTAATATTGACAGTATCCGACATTGAATAAATAATGCATTGCTACTGGCCAACCATGATCCTTTCATCATTTGTGCTACAATATAAAGTCTGTGCAACAGAACAAGTTTATCACATACACTTACTGTTGCCGCTCAAATTCGAAAAAATACTAGGTATTTTTTATTTTTTTTTCACAATTTTTTTTTTCCACATGTATCACAAAAAATATTTCAACAGGATTAATTTATTATACGCTTTTAAATATTTTATTTTATATATTGAAATTTACTACAACTTATAATAAGGGGAAACAACAAAAAAAATATTACAATAAAAAATGAATAAAAAAAATAGTAGCAAAAAAAATCTTTTTTAATATAACTAGGACGGTCCGGAGCGTGATCAGAGGTCATTTGTGTAACATTTACTTGTTTGTTTTGACGTCAATATGTTCCAATCAGAAATGATACGGCGTGCACAAATGGAAAGACTAACCGAAAAATAAGAAAAATACTAATAATTTTTCGGTTTTGAACTGAAAAAGAAGAATAGAAAAAAGATTACAAAAAATAGGTATTGAGCTAAAAAACTAAAAATAAAAAAAAATTAAATTTTTACTTCGATTTAAAAAAAAAAGGAACCAAAAAAATAAGAATATTAAAATAAGTATTTTAGTTATAATAACTAGAAAAAGAAATAGATCATCTCGTACCTGCGGATTTTTCCGACCTCTTGATTTCAATCATTAGCATTTTAAATTTTTTGCATTTTATATCATTTTATTCTATAGCTTTTTTATATACTACATTTTTCCAACTTTTTATTTATTTTTTATTTTTTTTTAAAAAAAAGCCTTGCTTTGATAATTTACAATCTGAATAAATAATAAAAAAAAATTAACCTTTTTTTATCCTTTTCAATTTATTCATCTCTTGTAGATAAATAAATCATGTAAATATCTTTCTATAGATAGTTTTTTTAGTAAATAAATTTTAATAAATTTAAAGGTAATTTTAATTAATAAATAGTAATAATACGAAAACTTTTTTTTAATAGGTAAATACAGTATAAAAAATTCTTTGAAAGTAAATATGAAATTTTTAATACAAAGATATTTTTTTTAGTAAGTAATATAAAGGTTTTTTAACAAATAAATGTGAAGATTATTTTTTTTTTTAACAATCATTTTTTTCCTTGAAGGTTGGGATCTGGACCGGACTGGGCAGGATTTCAAAAAATAGACTTTGTACAGGACTCCACTCTTAGACTCTAGAACATTAAATTAGGAAATTTATATCGATTGTTAAATTTAAATCATAAAAAATTTCTTCAACCTCTCACCAAGTAAAAAAATACAAATAAAATTAAATAATTACATAATAAACATAGTAGATATGATATCTTTAAAGTAGTTTGAGCTTAATTACTTTCATCTATAATAAAATAAATATTTCAATTTAGTTAAAATCTAATAGATCAAAAAAATCACATGTAAAGAGTAATTACCTTTAGAATTAATATCAAGTTTAGTAAAATCCATTTTTAAAGAATCTATAAATATTAGTTGTTAGCATCATAAAAAAATTCAAATCATTATAGAAAACTATATGTGTTTTACCTGAATATTCTAAATCATTTTTGTCTGCATTTGTAGGTTCTAGAAGATTTTTAAAATCTAAAAGTCTGCTTGTGTAAACTGCTTGAGGATGTGTCATATATGAGAGAGCACTAGTAGAAGATGTTGGTGATTGAACTGTTGTGGATGACGGCTTTTCATTAATTTCATTTGCTTCATTAATTTGTTTATCAATTTCAGAATCTTCCTTCCAATTTGCAAAAATGTCAGTAAATAACTTTTGTAATTCATCTGCTTTAGGTCGTTTTAAAGGGTCTGCATCCCAACATCGATTAATTATGTCAAAAATTAATTGAGGAATTTTATAATTAGACTTTGGCCTTAACCCCTGACAAATTTTCATTGCTAAGAATTCATCATGAGCTATATCACAATAAGGAGGGAAACCTGTACAAATTTCATATGCAATGATTCCAAATCCATAAATATCACTTTTTTGAGTATATTCTTTTCCTCTTAAAACTTCTGGAGCCATATAAGGTAGTACTCCATATATTTTCTTATTATTACTCTGAGAATGTTCTATATTAGCTGGTTGACATAATCCTAAATCAGTAATATAAGCATAATCACCAAAATCACTTAATATATTCCCACAATGAAAATCATGATGAATTAATCCTTTATTATGAATATCTACAAGACCATATGTAATAAAACATAAATTATACAACTTTTGCTTCCAATTATGTGAAATGAAGTTATTATCTAAATGTTGTCTTAAGCTACCACTTTTTAAATTCATCACCATCGTAAAATTATTTGTTTTTGGATCTTTGGTAATGCCAAAACAACGAACTACCCAGCCATATGTAGATTCACATACTAAAATATTTGATTCAATCTTAAAAGAAATTATAGTTAAACATTTATAAAGGCTAATTAAGATTTATAAGAAAATATCTTACTTCTTTGAAAAAATCTGCTGTAATATCTTGTGAGTTATGTAAGCACTTTAAAGTAACTTTTGTTTCACCTTTTCTTTCCAATTGACCGTTATTATTTCTCCCCCAAGGACCATCTTTCCAAACTGCTTTAAATGTAGTTCCAAATCCCCCTTCTGCTAAATATTCAACATCTTTAAATTTATCATATTCAATCCACTCTATGGTTTGATCAAAATTTCTAGCATTTAATTGTGCTTTTTGAATAAATTCATCAACGTCATGATTTACACTTGTCCAATTTTTGAAATTTTGTTTAAAATATTGTGATTTACATGACTGACAATAACAATCACCAGTATTAAGCCGCTTACATTCATCACACAAACCATTTTTTTTATAACGTTCTTTTAATTCCTTGTCTGTTATTAGTTTATCAATTAACGATTCTTGCTCTTCAGTCAATTTCCGATAGTTGAAGTCTTTTATTTGTTCAAATACATCATCACTTAATTTAATTTCATCCATTTTAATAAACAATTTTTTAAACAAAAATATGTTATTAATTCGTATGTAAAAATTATTAAAAAATATTAACTGATAAAGAAAAAAAAAATGAAAAAAAAGTTATTTTATGTTGCAATGATTTTAAGATCGGCAACAACATTATTAAAAAAAGACTAGTTAAAATACACAGAGGAAGCACAATAATCTTGATCGGCAATTAAAGCGGTTTTACACCCCATTCGCCTGATCGGCAAAGGATATAACCTTATCCATCGCGTCTCAAATGCATAGGTTATATCCTCTACGGAAACCATGGTTTTTATTGGCCAATATTAAGCAGAGATCATGTGACCTTATAAGCGCGGACATTTTTGTCCTCATAATTTGAGGACATTTCTGTCCTTGTAACTTGAGGACAATTTT